GGAAATGGAAATACAACAATTTTTTTTAATGAAAGCTTTCAATTGCCGTAAATGTATCATTATCTTTTCAACTATGGGCATTATTTAATTATTTTCGTATCCAAAAGATTAAATTTAAAAAACACGGCGTTTAGAAATTAATGAATATTATATAATAGACAATTTCCAACGCAATTCGCCATACCAATAATCTTCTCGCTCGATCACATTCCTCCGTAACACTAAATAAATTAATTATGTTATATTGCATTTTATGTTATAACATAGCTCCTAACTAATGCCGCGATATTTACACTTAGAGTCGTTTACATATTTAAAGCAACGGGTTTGTGGAGTTTTGTATATTTTGGCTAGCTCGCTCGCAATGTTCCTGCATTGTCCGCGACTCAGTTTGTCCTAAATGCAGGCCTGTACCGATAGAGCAATGTCACATCCCTTTTCCAAAAAAAAAGTAGTTACGATTTATAAATATTGAATGTATTCAAAAGAAAACTATACGGACATATGCTATGTTTATTACAGTATTTTTAGTTATTTATATACACATTTATATGTATAAATACGTGTATATGTGTTAATATATATGTATTCAATTATATATGTGTATATTTTATGTGTGTTGCATGATCCTATATGGCCATAACTTATTTTCTGTTCTTGCCAAGGTTAGCTGCTAGACAATGCCCTAAAACATTAAGCCCACCTCTCGTACAACATTTTTGGTGCAATAAAGACAAAAATAAATCATATCATTAATTCTGTAACAAAAATAATTTAAAATGCATTGATCTAACGTTAAGGCCCGCTATTACATGAATAAGTTTGTATATTTTTTAACGTGATTCCTCACATCGAGGAATATCACCAGTAAATGTATAACATCCATGTGGGAATATAAATTTACAAATTAATAGAATCAGACGTTACTTTGCGGAGATCCATTTTATATTAAACATAAACTAGCTAAGATCGGCGTGATAAAATAAAATTATGTGTCTTATCTAGTTTCATTTAGTGGTCAGCCACCGCAGTCACTTCTTCACCAGAGGCGAAACACGTGTCGTATTATCGACGGTGGTGTGACTTTCCTAGTGTAGTGCGGTAGGGAGTAGTGGTGACGGCGATAGAGCACGCAATTGATGGGGTGGGGGTCTTAAGATGCTCTTCATTTTTTTTCTTTAAAAAAACGTTACCCCCACACTAGGATTTTCTCCTGTGTCGTGGAGGCAGTTTACAAAGGACAAACATCCACTAGGACAATTATTTGTAGGCCATACAAGTACTTGTTCCGTGCGGAATTCGAACCCGCGGCCCCCAGCGCACCAACTCATTGCTAAGCCACTGCGCCACGGAGCCGTCAAAAGCCTTGAAACTAGGTAAAAGACATCATTTTATTTTATTACACGGTTCTTAGCTAATTAATCTTCAACCTCATTAAATGTACAAATGTCCGCTAGCTAAGCTATATACGTGCGCAACCGTTGTCCAATATGGCGCGTACGCATTTGTACAGACTCGCACGCACACCGAACGATAAATATCAACGTACCGATATAAAGTTAGCACCAAATGTTCCGGCTTCACTTCTCGCTCCCGTGTCGACACTGCGCGACCGTTGGCAACTCGAGACGGCAATTTAAAGTTTGAGTAACGCACCCTTCACACATACATTGCATTATTAAACAGAACTAAGATAGGATTTGTAGCAAAAATATTCTGTAAAGGAAATATAATCGGTGGGTTTAAAAATGCATTGTCTTTTATTTACTTAATTTGCAGAAAAAATTATATACATTTAATAATGAGAAGCCTTAAGTCCGAAGGCAGCGCACTGTGTTCCTTTTACTTTCAAAAGTATGTATCATAAAGTTACAAAAGTAACTTGAATTTGTTCGAATAATATAACACGAGACTATGTCTTTTTCCTGGAAAAGAGACATTCAATCTTAGTTCTTACGGGTGACCACACATCTGCATTTTGATAAATCTATTTACCCATTTAATTATTTCGTCTGTCACCCTTATTCTATAAAAAGTACCACTCATGTCAATTTAACGATATTTTACTCCAAAATAATTTAATCGTATTATATAATACAGAGAAGATTCTATACTCAAAAAAAAAAAAGAAGACAGAACCCTATGGTCACCACGACTATTACTTATAGAAAGGTGACGAACACAATCACCTCATGGCACACAATCCACCTCATGGTAAGTGCATGTCATGGTCTATAGAACTTGGTGTCTATATCTATTCTCGATTAAGAATCAAAATGCAAATGAGTAATCGTACCCGAGGACTGAGATAGGTCTCGTTACCTGTAAAAATCTCTGGTTTTCACACGAAACAGTAGCTGCTATTTTACATTTTTGTCACGTTTCGTAAAAACTACTCTGTTTGAGCCGGCTAGCTGCTCATCAATAACTTATATTATATACAGCATAAGATTAGCATTTGATCCTAAAATTAACTTTATTACGTTAAAATAAGGTTGTGATTATAATGGTAATAGAGTCAAGATTTTCGAAGATACTATTAATTTAGTGTAACGAGAAAATTAAAAAGAATGTATGAAATAACGAATGAAAATATTATATGTAGACACGAGAGCGGTCCGAGAGAGCATCTTGTGAGACAGACACGGAACAACGCTTTATCTTATATTAATTAGCATAAGTACCCATACACCCGTCACAATACAGCCTATTATTGCATATCAGGTCGTTAACAATAGAACATTATAAAAATGAATGGACAAGATATTTCAATGTTGTTATTTCATTAATTTTTAGTTGTCTATTAGCGTTAACGATTATAGAATGAGAACTTGGCGAAACCCGCAGAAAACTTTAATGGTGTCATTAATTTGTAAGAAGAACGATCGAATGTTTGTCTATGGATGTACGAACGAGTGCATGGATACAGCTGTTATATGTATATGTATTTTATCTATGCCGCTGTATATACGAATTATGGTTAAGTGGACGCGACAGTTCGCAGTCGCGTTTGTGGCTTGCCTTTGTTCTTTGGTGTCCTCTCGTAAACCTGTAATTTAAACGATCTTCTAATAAGCTGTCAGTAACACAAATATATCTATACGTATAAATAAAATTTAAGTGTCTGTCTGTTATATTGAAATAACTGTCTTAAATTAACACTTTCTCTGTTCGATTTTAAGACACAATAGTAAGAAAATAGCAATGACCTATATGTAGTGCACGGGACAGCGAAAGCATACAAATAGCCCCCTGAGCTTAACTCAGGGGGTTATTTGTATGCTACTATGACATAAATAATGATATGACATAAATAATAAAAATAGATGAGGAAGTGTAGTGGTGGCGTAGGAGAATTCGCCGAATATCATCCCTTGGGTGTCGTAAGTGGCGACATAGGGAAATGAAACAGGAGGTGAATAGCATCATCTTCCTAACAACAACTCAAAATAATTATAAAATTGAGATTGCTAACCCGGTTACCAAGCCTCGCAATCAATGCAAATATTTCGCCCATGAGGTAATCTATGAGGTCACGTACCGGCGAGTGAGAGGCAGCAGTGGGCAGTGGGCAGTGGGCGGCGGGCGGTGTGTGGGCCCCGCTCACTGGTGGAAGGGCAGCGGCAGCGCGAGGCTGTACAGCGAGGTCACGTACCGGCGAGTGAGAGGCAGCAGTGGGCAGTGGGCAGTGGGCAGTGGGCGGCGGGCGGTGTGTGGGCCCCGCTCACTGGTGGAAGGGCAGCGGCAGCGCGAGGCTGTACAGCGAGGTCACGTACCGGCGAGTGAGAGGCAGCAGTGGGCAGTGGGCAGTGGGCAGTGGGCAGTGGGCGGCGGGCGGTGTGTGGGCCCCGCTCACTGGTGGAAGGGCAGCGGCAGCGCGAGGCTGTACAGCGAGGTCACGTACCGGCGAGTGAGAGGCAGCAGTGGGCAGTGGGCAGTGGGCAGTGGGCAGTGGGCAGTGGGCGGCGGGCGGTGTGTGGGCCCCGCTCACTGGTGGAAGGGCAGCGGCAGCGCGAGGCTGTACAGCGAGGTCACGTACCGGCGAGTGAGAGGCAGCAGTGGGCAGTGGGCAGTGGGCAGTGGGCGGCGGGCGGTGTGTGGGCCCCGCTCACTGGTGGAAGGGCAGCGGCAGCGCGAGGCTGTACAGCGAGGTCACGTACCGGCGAGTGAGAGGCAGCAGTGGGCAGTGGGCAGTGGGCAGTGGGCGGCGGGCGGTGTGTGGGCCCCGCTCACTGGTGGAAGGGCAGCGGCAGCGCGAGGCTGTACAGCGAGGTCACGTACCGGCGAGTGAGAGGCAGCAGTGGGCAGTGGGCAGTGGGCAGTGGGCGGCGGGCGGTGTGTGGGCCCCGCTCACTGGTGGAAGGGCAGCGGCAGCGCGAGGCTGTACAGCGAGGTCACGTACCGGCGAGTGAGAGGCAGCAGTGGGCAGTGGGCAGTGGGCAGTGGGCGGCGGGCGGTGTGTGGGCCCCGCTCACTGGTGGAAGGGCAGCGGCAGCGCGAGGCTGTACAGCGAGGTCACGTACCGGCGAGTGAGAGGCAGCAGTGGGCAGTGGGCAGTGGGCAGTGGGCGGCGGGCGGTGTGTGGGCCCCGCTCACTGGTGGAAGGGCAGCGGCAGCGCGAGGCTGTACAGCGAGGTCACGTACCGGCGAGTGAGAGGCAGCAGTGGGCAGTGGGCAGTGGGCAGTGGGCGGCGGGCGGTGTGTGGGCCCCGCTCACTGGTGGAAGGGCAGCGGCAGCGCGAGGCTGTACAGCGAGGTCACGTACCGGCGAGTGAGAGGCAGCAGTGGGCAGTGGGCAGTGGGCAGTGGGCGGCGGGCGGTGTGTGGGCCCCGCTCACTGGTGGAAGGGCAGCGGCAGCGCGAGGCTGTACAGCGAGGTCACGTACCGGCGAGTGAGAGGCAGCAGTGGGCAGTGGGCAGTGGGCAGTGGGCGGCGGGCGGTGTGTGGGCCCCGCTCACTGGTGGAAGGGCAGCGGCAGCGCGAGGCTGTACAGCGAGGGTCACCGCCGCGGCTCCGACACGTACACTGACACAGTAGAGTCCTTCGAGCCCACGCCTAAAGCGCATCTGAAATTTAAATATATTATGCTAAATTATGGTGGTAGTACGAACGGGTTACTTAGGACCACGTTATCACGGACTGCTGCTGTGTTTCATATGAGGAGTGTAGAGCTCCGGAGATCGGAGACCGTTTTTAACTGGAAACGAGGCATTATAACTTAGTCCTCAGTGGATTTGGATTCTTAATTGAGGATAAATGTAGATGTCTATGGGCCACAGCATTGACTTACTATCCAGGTGGAAAGTATTTTCGTTTGTCACCCTTATTCTATAAAAAAAAAACACTTTTAAAATTAATATTATTGTAAGTAATACTTCTATTAAAGAATTTAGGGCTAAAATTTTTTATAAGGTTAATATATAGAATAATTACACTTTGTGTTGGACAAGTGAAAATAGTGATATATTTACAGACCCTGATAGGCCAATACATAAATAGTCATAAACGTTTCATATTATAGTTTAGTGAATAATCGTTATAGCTTAGAGTTTTATCTCATAATTTTATAGTAGAATTATTTTTAAGTTATGTACTGAATTTATAATGTAGTAACATAGAAATGTATAAGTTTAATATATAGAAAAACACAATTGTTACGCGACTCAACAAGGTAGTTACATAGCATCGTGCCTTGCTCTCTCGCACCTCGCTCTGATTGGTCGTCCTCTCCCCCGTCTCTTGTACTGTATTTGTTGACCTAGCCGAGGTCGTATAAAAAGGGGGCGATTTTCGTCGTCCAACACATTCATTCCGCCTGTGGCACCGCTCCCGAGCGGTCGTGTCCAGGTAGTCCGCGCTCTCGTACCCGTACGGTAGTGCTATCTCGCTCTCGCGCCTCCGCTGTCCTGCTCGCGCTGTACAGCGTCGACGCTTTGGTGAGTCATTTTCGCTAACAGCTCTTGCCCCCCTGTCTTCGGGCGGGGAGGTTTGACTGACCTTTGAAAGACGCCGAATCCCCACCCGCGTGCGTCCTGTGTAAACAAACAGGCCACCCAGCAAATTACAGAGGCTGCCCTTGCGCACCTCATCCTCGCCCCATTAGGCAAGCTCCACCGCCGGTCAATGACCGATCATTCTCGGCTCTCTATCCTAGATTGCCCCGTCAGGGCTTCTCTCAGCCCCTTCAGGGCTTCTCTCATCCTATGCAGCCTCCAGTCTTTTCCTGGGGCCCCAAAAAGGCCGACCCACCGCGGACAACCTCCGCCCCCAAACAATCTCAGCCCTCGATGGTCGATGACCTTAACACGGTTTACGCCGCTATAAGGAACGTCGACATCGGGGAGATCGCGATTTTAGCAAGTAAATTGCGCGCTGCGAGGTCCCCTCAGGACCGTCTCCTCGCTCTTGTAGAGCATAACAATCTTTTGAGCTCGTTGTAAGTTAAGTTAACTTAATTAACTTAACTCTACAATGACAGAGCAGTCTGCTCTACCAAAGTCTCACTGTCGTATCAAACCTAAGGGTTTATCGCTTGTTTCCTTTAATATTCGCGGTTTGCGAAATAACCTCCCAGAGCTTAAGCTCTTTCTTCGAAATCGTGAAGCCGATTTCCTCCTCCTACAGGAAACTAATCTCAAAACTAAGGACACTAAAGGCCTTTCTATTAAAAACTTTTCTCTTCTTCGTAATGACAGGCCCGACCGCCGAGGCGGCGGTACGGCCATTTATTACAAAAAGACACTCCACTGCTCTCCCATTTCTACTCCGCAGCTTACCAATATGGAAGCCACGGTATGCAGGCTAGTTATGACTGGACATCAGTCCATTCTCATAGCCTCCTGTTACATCCCTTCTAGAACCCTTCCCCTCAAAAGAGATTTTAAGGCTATTTTATCGCTAGGCTATTATGAGGATGGTTAAAATCTCCAAACATAATAACTGGGTTACCTAAAAACCCAGTTATTATGTTTGGAGATTTTAACTCCAAGCATACTGAATGGACATGCCGTACTACCTCCCGTAGTGGCAGAATACTGCTTGATATCACGCAGTCTCTTGACCTTGCCGTTCACAGTCCCCTCGGTGCTACTCACTATCCCGATGTCACCGACTACGCTCCAGACGTGCTAGATTTTGCACTATACAAAAGTGTTTCCCTCAACCTCAGGGCAATCGAGACACTAGACGATCTAGGATCCGACCACCGACCGGTCTCCCTCATTCTTGGCCATCAGCCACCCCCCTCAACCCCCTCTACTAAAACCTTCACAAATTGGAAGGGCTTCAAGGAATCCCTAGCGAAAGCTCTGGACTTACAGGACTCTCCCATCTCCCTATCATCGGACTTAGACAGTCCCGAAAAAATCGACACCGCGGTCGATTCACTCTCCGCCCTTATTAAAACCTCCCTTAAGGAGAATGAAAGGGTAGTCCCAGTTGCTAATAATAGTGGGCTTCCCCTACATATTAGCAACCTATTAAAAGCCAAGAAAGCTGCTTTCCAGAGAGCAGCAAAATATCCCACGCCCGAATATAGGCGCACGGCCAATCGTCTTCAACGAGAACTCCGTTTCCGCCTCTCTGAATTTCGAGACCTCGAAAAGACTAAACTCATGGAGAATATCTCTCCCTCTCATACAGCGTACTATCGGATGGCAAGAGCCCTCCGCATAGACGCAATCACCCACACTCCCCCTCTCTCCCGTCCCGACGGTACGGAAGCCTTCGAGGACGAGGAAAAGGCTGAGTGCTTTGCAGACAGCATTGTCGCTCAATGCTCTCCTAGTTCTCAACCCGTCGACCCTTTACACGTCCAGGCAGTGGAAGATGAGGTCCGCCGCCGGAACTCACCCCCTACAGCCTCCGAACCTATCTCTGTGTCCAATGATGAGATTTCATCCCTCATCAAAGGACTTAAGCCCAAAAAGGCCCCGGGCGCGGATGGCATCTCCAACCAAGCCCTTAAACACTTTCCTGAGCAGGTGTTAACCCTTTTAACTATTATCTTCAACGCCTGCTTCAACCTTAGTTATTTTCCCCCTACGTGGAAAGAGGCTACTGTGATTGGTATCCCCAAGCCAGGAAAGCCTCTCAACCTACCCTCCAGTCATCGTCCCATTAGCCTCCTCAAGGCCATGGGCAAGCTCTTCGAAAGAGTCATTCTTACTCGCATGAGGCTCCAACTGTTTCCCACAGACGATGACCCTCTTGTCATACCCCCATCAATTTGGTTTCCGAGCGAAACACTCTTGTCCACAACAAGTTCACCGTATTGTGGAATATATCCTCAGCGGTTTTTATCCCCGTCGTCATAAGACCATCGCGGTCTTTTTCGACATAGCTAAAGCCTTTGATAAAGTCTGGCATGAAGGCCTTATTTACAAATTATATAAAATAGGTCTCCCCGATCGTCTAGTACGTCTCGTGGCCTCTTATCTAAGGCATCGTACCTTTCGTTTTAGACACGAAGGCACGCTATCTTCCCAACGCCCCATCAAAGCTGGTGTCCCTTAGGGCTCAGTACTTGCTCCTCTCCTGTACATTTTGTTCACCAACGACATTCCCATCCCGTCGAAAGGTGTTCAGCTCTCGACGGGGACTGTACTGTAAAGGTATCTCGCTAGCTTTCATACGGAACAAGATCCAAAAGTCAGTTGATGACCTAGGAGCTTGGTTCAAAAAATGGCGCATCGATGTGAACCCGGAGAAGAGCTCCGCCGTTCACTTCGATTATAAACGACGCCGACTCAAAAACACTCCACCAATACGTATGCTAGGGACGTAAGGCTAGTCCCCTGGCATACGACTGCCAAATATTTAGGCGTCACCCTTGACACGAGGCTCACTTTCAGGCCCCACGTCAAAAGAGTAATCCGTCACGCACGTTTTTAACTGAGTAGGCTCAACAGTATGTTGGGCCGACACAGTTAAATGTCCCTCAGAAACAAGCGTACCCTATATAAGGTCTGTATACGACCAGTCATGTCCTACGCGGGCCCCATTTTTGCTCACGCTGACCCTAAAATTATTAATGAACTCGCAAGTAGTTCAAAACCTCTTCTGTCGTCGAGCTACGAACGCACCTTGGTACGTCCGTAATGCCGACCTTCATCGGGACTTAGAGCTCCCTACAATCCAACAATTCCTTAAAAAACTCTCCGAGAACTTCTTCAAAGCCTCAGAGTCGCATTCCAATCATTTTATTCGTGAGGCAGCTACTTATGCAGCCCCACCCCCCGCCATTAAGTCCGCAGGCCGAGAAACACTCTCTCATCTCTCGCCAAATAAAATCTCAACCGACCTGAACTGCCTCCTGGCGGCTCAGGCCGATCCTTCTTAAATTTGCCTAAGTAGGCTCTTCCTCAGCTGTAGCCACCTGCGCCCTCTTCTCCCAAAAGAGGGTCGCGTCCGATCCGACGAAGCGGCTTAATCGGCCAATTGTCCGTCCCCAAAGGCGGTTTTTAGCGGGTATCACTTAGGTCCCCCGTAAGTAGATTCAGTGAGTCCCGCATAACCACGACAGACCGGCTGTCGTGGTATGCATAAATGCATTTTCCGCCTCCCTACGTAATGGGTAGCCCTTTTCCAATTACTTCTGGGCGCAAAAAAAAAGTCGTTCAACACAGTCGGCGGCTAGCTACCTAGGAAGAAACTTCAAATATACAAAGAAGAAGATCTCAGTGGTTTTATTCCCCACCAACCCAGCACACAATTGTGCCTGTAAGGCACACAATTGTCGATCACATTATCAATAATATTTGAATCAAAATTTCAAGCAAATCTATGTCATAATGTCTACTTTAAATACACCTTCAGGACAAGGAAACATAAAGGACAAAGTAAAACACATGACAAACAAGCTCTTTCACAGTGGTAGAGCCACGCGGCAGCTTTTGCTGTCGCACGGTTGGGCCGGCTCAAACCGGGGTGGTACCACGACCTCACAGAAAACCAGCGTGAAATAGAGGTTTACCTCTGCGTTTCGCTTGGTGAGTGCAGGTGGCCGGAGGCCCTTTTTACTAGAAATGAGGCATTCCATCTTGGTCCTCACGGGTGACAACGCATCTACATTTTGATTTGTGGATTTGTGTTGAATGGAGGATAGATGTAGATGTCTATGGGCCGCAGCAACCACTTACCATCAAGTGAACTGTGTGCTCGTTTGTCACCTTTATCCTATAAAAAAAAAGCTCAATGGTTCAAACTAAAAACCCGACTGCGTAAAAAAGTTTAAAGAAAAGAGATCATTTCCACAACTAAAAGGCATCTAACGACATCCTATATGTTTAAATCCATAAAGCCGTGCAGGTTACAGAGTGTGTAGTAATTAAAACAATGCAAGTTACCTTAGTGGATGGAAAGTGAGACAGGAAACTGGTCCGATCCGTGCACCCATGAAACCCTCATGGAATTTAATTGTGTTGAGAGTTGCACCCTTCAGATCGTAGATGCTGATACATTGGTTCACAGACCCACTGAAAAACACAAATTAAATCAGTTTAATTTAAACTGAAGTGGAGTGTACACAGATTTTATTAGGTTATATTTTGGTTTTTCATGTTATACTAAAAATCTTTAAAACATCTCATATTAAGCACCTTTAACATTACAATGCTTAACTAATTATTCACAACTATTTCTGCCACCAGGTCAAGTCCAGGTGCCACTTTGGAATGAGGTGAAGTGTTTAAGAGATTTCATTTCGTTTCTTATCCGAATCAGTTGTAAAAAGTAAAAAATTACAATAAGAATTATTTATAATCTATATTATATAAAAAGTAATTCTATTCTTTTCTAATACTTGTTGTAACACACTTCATAAAAGGTTGATTCAATGCCCGTGGTATTTTTTTACTATCAAGATTAAAAGTGAAAAATGTTGAGAGAATTAATTAGAAACCCCATGTTAGTTTTGAGTGTAGTTTATTACAAAGGATGTGTGTGACGTCTGTGCGTGCGTGCGAAAGTCAAAATGCTTGAACGGAGTTTCCTTAAAAAAACTTTATTTATGAAACTCGGTTACAACTTGTTTAACTAAAATAAATGTTACAATGATTTAAAAATCCTAATGCGTGGAATAGTGTCCCAGTACTTTATACTGCGAAGTTAAGTATACAGGGTATTTTTGGAACGCTCCCGAAAACTAAGACAGGCGACAGCACCAAGTATACCTTTGATCATGGGTTACAAATAAATTTGATCCTGATTAAAAAAAAATCATATTTTTACAACGTTTTATTAGCTTTATTCACGCGCCATCATATCATGTTAGTACAGCTAAATGAAACGATAATTTCATTAAAAAAATCATGAAAATACTGAAACATAAAACCAGCAGTGGAAACTGAATTGATATCACCTGACTAATGGAGGTTAATGTACGCGCGAACGGTGAAAAAAGAACGCTGGCCTTGAACTTGGGCACTGAGCGATTTATCACATATTGGTACGAAGGGGGCGCAACGGGGGAACAATCACACACAGTATTACTGTGCCTGCATGCTATTGGTTCCCGCGCTTTGTTCGCTCCAAAATACAGTCGCATGCATACACAGCTTACTTTGCGACTCGCGACGATGTTTTAAAAAGGAAGGAAAGAAAAATTATTTATATCTATTGTTTTATGACTAAACTAGTGAACGAAAAGGAAAATATGATAGGAGAAGGTGAATGGGGAAAATTGTGCAATAAAGTTAAAAGTGTTGAGGAAGAATACCGAAAAAATTACCATGTGATCAACCTGATAACGGAAGCTCAAGCGAAGATGAAAGTGATGATGAAGTGCTACTTCCAGTGCCAGTGCCAGATGTTGATGGTGTGTTGGTGTTACTGGATGCTATCCAGTAACAACAACACACCATCAACATCTGGCTTCCATGTGACCCAAGACGTCATAATGGACGGCGTGTCACCCTTAGCTTATGTTTTCTTGTTACAAACTACTTTATATTTTACGATAGAAATAACAAATAATGCTCAAGTAAACATTATCCATTTTTAATTCCCACCTCTTCCAAAGTTCTAAGTAGGTATTAAAACACCTATTATGATTCTACAATAAAATAATTAATTACTATAATATTATAAAAAAAATAGCCCAATACCATGTAGTACTTTAGAACGAGACTGTACCCACACTCCCTCCGCTGTCGACCTGTATCTAGATCGGTACGAAACAATGCCGCGGTCATAAGAAAAAAGGGCGCATCTAACAATTTTTTAATAAATGAGTTAAATATACCATTCGACTCATGATAAGAAGGCGCATCTACTAATTTTTTTAATATTCACAAATATCAATATTTTAGAAATTATCGTAAGAATTTTAGACGTAACTGTTGATCACAGATGACATTTTTTTTTAGTAGAAAAGACTTATACAAATTCAACATAAAAGAAAAGACTTATTTAACCAGTTGCTACGTCATCTTTAACAATATTTGCATCGATTACTTAAATTTCAATTATTCTTGTCTTATTATTCTATATCTTATTATTAAGAGCTGGCGTTTCACATGTGATCCCATATAAATTTGATCGAGGTCAGACCAATAGTTTTTGAGTTATCCTAAATTATTTATATTAAAGTCGGTTGTACAAAATTTTTAATTATTATCGTAGTAAGTCTTGTATGATATCCCCTTTAAAATCATTACTCAAGAGTTGCGGGTTGTTATTTTTTGTGTCTCACTACCAATGCTTTTCTAATATTTACTAAGAAAAAAGTAGTAAATTACTATTAACGTCCTTTCAACTTCAAATGACCTTTCCAAAATATGTAAAAATGTTAAATGAATGGCAGTTTTTTTTATTTATTAGGTTGGGAAGACGCAAATAGTTATATGCGTCTTTCCTTCGATGTTTTTGTGTTGGCAGGTGTATTTTTTAATCTAAGATGAAAAGGAAAATTCGTTTTATTTAAATAAATAAACAAATTATCAAAAAATAAGTTCGTCCTTAAAATCTTCATGTCTCTACGTATATTTCAATTTTCATATAGATACCTTTTAATATACTTCAGACACGGGGTCTGAAAGAAAAATTCGTCAATTTATTTTTTATTTCCATTTTATGTTTTTGTTAGTTGCGTCCTTCTTTATTATGACGGCAGAATGTAACCTGGCCGACTCGTGTCGCCTCACGCTGTGACGCAGTAGGTTTCAGTTTTGTCGGGGTTCGTTATTAATTGTACTTTTTGAAACAGTTCCGTGTTGATTTTGTACACGCGTGCGCGAACGACATCTCAATCGTTATGTTTATTAAATTGTTATTACTTGTGATTACGTGTTGGTATTATTCTTGTTGTTACGTTTTTTGTTTTAATAATGCTTAACGCGTACGTTTATAGTGATTGTGAATACGGCAACATGTTATGTATCCGAACCTAGGTACACGAAGTATCGTTAAATAAATTGTTAAAACGTCGGGATGGAACAAGTGTGTCATACTGTGCAGTGCACAAAGTGTTGAAGCGTAACCGAATGCACCCATACAAATTGCACAAAGTGCAAGCTTTAGTTCCCGGCGATCACGACCGCCGACGAGTTTTCTGCCGTTGGTTATTATACCAGCAACAACGTGTGCCTGGTTCCATTGGACCGAAGAAATACACACGTGTATTCAGAGGTTAACCCGCACGCTGTTCGACAAACCGGACACCAAACCCGATGGTCGGTTAACGTATGGGCAGGTTTATTTAAGGATCGCATACTGGGACCAGTGTTTCTGTCAGAGCGACTGAACGGACAGCGAGACCTAAACTTTATAAATGAACAGTTGGTTGACATTTTAAACGACCTATCGTTGGCTGAATATCGCCGCACATGGTTCCAGCATGATGATGCCCCTCCACATTTCGTGAGGTTCGTTCGTGAGCGCCTCAATGAGCTATTTGATGATCGCTGGATCGGCAGACTAGGACCACACGCTTGGCCACCTCGCTCACCAGATCTGACCCCGTTAGACTTCTTTTTGTGGGGTATGTGAAAGAAAGGGTTTTTAATCGTGAGTGTGATAGTGCTGATGAAATGCGCCAAAGGATCGTGGATGCTTTCGAGAAATTACGTACGGACTGTGTCGAAGACCACACGATGATGCCCCGCCTGCACCCAAATCTACCTTGAAATGAATGGAGCACAATTTGAGCCGCATCTCATAAGACCACGGAGGATTTAGAGCGGTAAGCTGTTTCATAACTATTTTTTTTTAAATAACTTAGTACTAGACTAATCTGAATAGGTACATAACTGAATACATAAGAATAATAAACATACCTACACGATGAATAAAAACGCATGACTCCAACCTTGGTTACATTTCATTTAAGTATTTTTTCATTAGCGGGGAATCGAACCAGTTATTTGGGTTATTTAACCTGTAAATTCGGATTAAAGTGGCTACGTGGAGACACGCACAGTGGCAAAATAGTAGGTTAAGTAGATAAGTTAGGTATTTAGACAAGTGTTGTAAATTATTAGGTATTGTGGTATGGCCCGCTAGTTGCGGGCCGCGCGAAATTGCGTTCGCACGTCCATTGAACTTTAGTCAGGTGATATCAATTCAGTCATTCCACTGCTGGTTTTATGTTTCAGTATTTTCATGATATTTTTCATGAAATTATCGTTTCATTTAGCTGTACTAACATGATGGCGCGTGAATAAAGCTAATAAAACGTTGTAAAAAGATGATTTTTTTTTCATCAGGATCGAATTTATTTGTTACCCATGATCAAAGGTATACTTGGTGTTGTCGCCTGTTTTAGTTTTCGGGAGCGTTCCAAAAATACCCTGTATATCTTATACAATAGGTCTGGGAAAAAGTTTTTTGGTATTTTATAGCTGGTATCGGCGTGTTGCGGCCGCAGAAGAAATAATTGTGGATATATCGTTATAAATTTGGAAGTTATGTTGTTTAATAAGGAGTGATATATAATATATTCATTGAAATTGATAACTTTCAAGTAAATTTGTCAGTACGATACGCGCGCCACTTACTGTAAGACACGGTGTAATGCTACATACAGTAACAGAGTTATCGCAGCGCTGATATTCTGTCGGAGCTACTAAGTCGACTAGCGAACAATCGCTGGACATAATTTAGTAACTTATAATTATTAAGAACTTAATGAAAGTTAACATTATATCTAATAGTTTCAAGTAATAAATATGCGATGCGTTTGACTCGTGAACGTGAGTGCGTGCATGTAAGTGTGTACGTGTACGTGCGTGTTTGTACGTGTGCGTGTGTGGTTGCAAGTGAGCGTGTGTGCGTGCGAGTACACACCAGGCCAGCAGGTCGCAGAGCGGGTGCACGTCGACGGCAGCGAGCGGGCCGGGCGCACGCACCACCTCCACCGCCGCCATCTTGCGCGTGTCGTACACGCGGATTACGCCGTCCATGCTGTTAAACACACATATAAAATTTTATTAATCAATTTATTATTTATTAGAAAACTACAGCAGGATTACAGTAAAAACTCAATGTACAACCTTTACCGTTACCGTTACAGTTACAGTCTCTTAAAGTCTACTGCTGAATAGGCCTCCCCTTTAGATTGCCTCATAGGGGCATATTGGCTAGAATCGCCATGTTTGGCATTTTTGTTTTTGTTCGTTATTAAAAAGATGCCCATCTCCTGATTGGTCTCCCACGGGTTGATATGAGTTAATGAATATTCTTACATCGCCACTACATGGTACTTTAGTCTTTAATTAAAGCTATTTACGATTTCTTACTGTGTGTGCGCGTGTGTGTGAGGGCGTGTGACGCGCGCGGTGTGCGTGCGTGCGTGCGTGTGTGTGCGTGCGCGTGTGTGTATGAAAGTATTTTATAATGAACGTTGTACATGATGGTACATAAGCGTGTGTGCGTGCGACTGACCAGCCGGTGAGCAGCGCGTGGCGGTGCGGGCGCGGCGCGACGCACAGCACGGGCGCGGCGTGCGCGTGCAGCGCCAGCGCGGGCGCGGCGGCCGCGCGCTCGTCCCACGCGCGCACCGACCCGTCGCCGAACCCGGCCAGCAGCAGCGGCCCGCGCCACAGCGCCGTCGCCGCCGCCTCGCACTCTGCGCGACCCCCATACCACACAATACCTCATTATCATCATCCTTCATATTTTGTACGTAGAGTCATGTCACAGATATAAAATAAAGAAACACCACCCTCTCACAGATTCCCAGACGAAAGTGAAATAACTGTACAGAACCAGAGATTCTTTTACTGAAAACGTAGGAATCCATCTTAATCCTCAAAGCTGACAACGGATCTGCATTTTGATTTTTAATGTAGCTGTTAATGTCCCACAGAATCCACTGACCATCAGGTGGACTTAGCCCTTGTTTGTCACTCTTATTCTAAAAAAAAATCACAATTCTCATTGTCATCATTATTACAAGAAATATTGTGAAGAGCTCACAAGACTACTGCTGAACATAAGTCTACCATAAGAGACGCCATAAAACATGATAACTATCCACCTGCAGCCAACAAATACTTCCAATGACAATAATAAACCGCCACTCGAGAATCTTTGTTTTCTTTCTTTCGAATCGGGTGTCGATTTTTCGAACTATATGGGCGGCCCATTGCCACATCTGATTTTCTGAGCAGTTGAGCTATACCAGCTGTTTCTGAAACGCTTCCGAAATCGAAGACAGATGATAGTACTAAGGATACCTTTGATCATGGGTCACAAATAAATTCGATCCCGAGGAAAAAATATCATCTTTTCACATTTAATTAACTTTATTCACGCTCCATTATGTACTACAACTAAATGAAACGATAATTTCATAAAAAAATCATGAAAATACTTAAACATAAAACCAGCAATGGAATTACAATCAGCTGACTAGGAGTTAATGTACACCCAGACGCCGAATTCTCGCGGCCCGCAGCTAGTGATGGTACCACAATACCTAATAATTTACAACACTTGTCTAAATACCTACATTATCTACTTAACCTACGGTACGACTTTCCATTGACGTCCGTCGAGTTGGGGGTTGATATTTTTTTTACAGAAATGTCACATAATTATAAGCACAGACGCAAAGTTTCAAAATTCGGAGACACGTACATCCCTACTGACAACGACAATACAAAATAGCGTCAGTTTTACGGTAGGAATTGACATAAATATTGCAAAAATAATTCATCATCATCATCATTACAGCCCTTCACAAGTCCACTGCTGAACATAGGCCTCCCCCAAAGAATGCCACAAAGCACGGTCCTGAGCCACCTGCATCCATCGACTTCCTGCATATCTTACCAGGTCGTCACTCCATCTAGTGGGGGGACGCCCTACACTTCGCCTGCCGGTACGAGGCTGCCACTCGAGAACCTTTCTTCCCCATCAGTTGTCGGTTCTTCGAGCTATATGGCCGGCCCATTGCCACTTCAGCTTACTAATCCGTTGGGCTATGTCGGTCACTCTAGTTCTACTGCGGATATCCTCATTTCTGAGTTTATCACTCAGAGAAACTCCGAGCATAGCCCTCTCCATAGCTCGCTGAGCGACCTTGAGCTTCCTCATCCGGCCAGCAGTGAAGGACCACGTCTCAGTTCCGTATGTCATCACTGGCAACACGCACTGGGTGTACAGTCTCGTTTTCAAGTTTTGAGGTATACCTGACGAGAAGATGTGCCGTAATTTCCCGAACGCTGCCCAACCAAAAATAAATAAAATAATAATTCCAAAAATAATTGATTTTCAATAATTTTTTTCACAAAAAGTATGCGTTTCCGCATGTTGAAACTTTGCCTGTGTGCTTATAATAATCTATCCTTTCTGTAAAAAAATATCAACCATCAAGTCGACGGACGTCAATGGAAAGCTAAGCCATCCCTACTATTCTGCCACTGTGCTTGTCCCCGCTAATAAAAAAAAATTACTTAAATTAAATGTTAACAAGATTAGAGTCGTGCTTTTTTAGCCATCGTGTAGATATGTTTATTATTCTCATGTATTCAGTTATGTACCTATTCAAGTGAGTTCCGTGCTGTTATAAAAAAAAATTAGGTATGAAACAGCTTACTCAACTAAATTCTCCGTGGCCTTAGGACATTCTCCAAGGCAAATTAACATGTTGCCGTATTCACGAGCACTATAAACGTACCTACGCGTTAGGTATTATTAATACAAAACGAGAAACACAAAACGTAACAACACGAATTTAATAAACAAAACGATTGAACTGTCTCAAAAACTAAAATTAATAATTAATCCCGCCAAAACAAATGCCTCATGCATCGTAACGTCCTTGAAGCACTGGTCAATTCCACAGACCATTTAACCGTTACGACATTGCCAACGTTTATTTTATTTATAAGTTTAGTTGTCCCTACGACTAGTCTTCATATTGAATTTAGAAGTTATGGTTGTCATTTTAATACAATTACACAATCAATTGTACCCTGACGCAACAAGCAGTTCTTTACTACAAAAATTGGATTAAATTAATAAACGTACCTAATTGGGTATGGGGGCGTTCAAGTATTACGTAACGCAATTTTTGAAGATTTTTGACCCTCCCGCCCCCCTATGTAACGCGTCGTAACGTTTATCTGGACCCCCCCTCCCCCTCCCTAAACGTTACGTAACACCCAAGTGACCATTTTTAACTAAAAGTCACAATTATGTTGTGCAAAATACCGGAAAGTCGCTAAAATAACATTGTTATTGTTTTAATCGCGTTTGCGGTAATAATAAATAAAACAAGAGATAAGAAATCTCTTAAAAATCGTAATAGATGCGTCTATAGTTTATTTTATTTATTCATATTGTTATTTAATAAATAATCACACATAATGTTATAAACATTTGCTTAAGTTTTAAATATGTTAAAATAGGCTAAAATTCGTCCTAATAAACTTTTACTGCTAACTTTACATTTAATTACGCCGTTTCTCTGATTTGGCCCTTTCCTCACATACATTTTTGGCTTAATCCATCAAGGTCTTCTCATGCATTCTCCTGTTTTAGCTTTTTTTTTACTAATAGACTATTAAAATAAAATAACATATTTATTTTAACCTTTGGCAATGCAATGGAAACCTAACTGAAATAAAACATTTTAGTCAAAATAAAATTGTATTCTTAGCTAAAAATTTAAAATAAAAACAGCTATAATTAAAATACGTAGGTATGTAGAAAAAGATCAATTTAATTGGAGTTACTATTCCTCTGTCCACGGGTTTGCCGGCACTCAGACTCTTTCATTACTGGCATCCGGAGAGCAGACGGAGCGGATTCCGGAATTGTTAAACCACTTGCATCAACTTCGTCTTCGTCAAGCCAATCGGCATACTCAGACGATGTTTCACAGCATCGCACAATGCAGAGAAGCTCATTTGCCCTTCTGGCAGCAGTCGCTGTGGCTGTACTCTATTTTTACGACGGTCTTGGGCAGTCTTGCCATGCACGTAACGTCTGTGCATTTGCACACTCTTGTGAGATGTGAAATAGATCCCACATGTTGCACATATTCTGTTCTTGAGGTCAGATTGTACTGATGGGCAAAATAAATCGTAAGGCATCTGCTTAAACCCTTCTAGAGGAGGCGACAGATCATCTAACAACCTCACAAGAAGTGGTGAAAACTTGCATGATCCTTTGTCCAGCTGACCAGGTACCACGAGCTTGCTTGAGGTTTGAAGGATTGGGCAGGGTGGCAGCAGGAAAGTATTTGGAAAGACAGATTTCAATGCACTCCTGCAGCGGGAACAGCAAGATTCATCCGCGCATTTAATCACTTGTAAGAAATATTGCGATTCATGAACGTGAGCCCTATACCATGCCAGATTAGATTCTGCTGGATTCTGCAAGCTAGATATTATATATACTACTACTTCAATACATATTATATATATACTACATAGGGCAGGCATTTCGATCAAAAAACACTTAGCGAATGGTTATGTCACTCGTTTCCGCGCCACAACTAAATGCAAATTGTAGGAAAATTTATCGACCAAGTGAAAAATGAAAAAGTTTTAGCCCCAAATTAGCTGCCCTTAAAATCTGCCGCCCTAGGCTCCAGCCTACTCAGCCTGCTGGTAAATCCGCCACTGGTAAAAGTTCTTTGTTTACCAAGTCCATTAAAAGAGAACACAGTCACAATACAGTCGAGGGATTCCCCGTAAAACGTAAACGAAAGGGGTTGCCAACTTGGGAGATTTTAATTTCCTAGTTTTTATTGAAATAAAAAAACGTTACGTAACGCGTTATTGGAAAACCCCCTCCCGCCCCTGTAACGCATGGTAACGTTTTATAAGACCCCCCTCCCCCCAAATTGCGTTACGTAATACTTGAACGCACCCAGTATATATATATTCAGTACTCACTTACACAATTAAAAACACAATTTCATCATATCAAATAATACATTTACTTTATTTTAATTGACTTTCCGTATTAATCCGACCAATACTTTGAATTTAAAAAGAGGAAAGACAAAATTATTAAAAAATTGCCGCCTCTAATTATTATGTCGCCGGTAAACTAAATTTCGGTGCAACATGGCAGCGTTGCCAACACCAATTTGTCAAATTCCCCGAAAATTCATGTCAAATTCCCCAATTTAAGGACAAAACTTCAACAGATTCTCCACAAATTCGCGTCGATTTTATTTTAAGAAATGAATCAGTTTTCAACTTATTTTAAAAGATTTACTTTTGAACTAACATTTTTTTTCTTTAAAATTAAAAAATAAAGAAATGAAAAGCATGAAATGATACACAAAAGTTGCCGAAATAAATCCGAAAATTAAATGTGGTGCAATGAAGATAATTAAAAAAAGGGAGTCATTCGATATTCATAAGTAACCTAACAAAGCGTTAAGATAAGTATTTAGATTTCTTGAAAAAAGGTTCTGCTTTGGCCCTGGCTATCGATTTTCAAAATCCCCGTATTTTCCCCGCATAATAACAACCCCCATAAGATCTCCAACAACTTTAAATTCCCCGCAATTTTGGGAATTCCCCATATGTTGACAAAGCTGACGTGTGTAAATTCCACAGCGCGAGGTGACACGAGCCGGCCAGGCGGCGTTAGCGCGTGTGTGAAAGGGAAGGCTAGAGTGAGTAGGCATTGTTTCGAATCGAGCTAGATACAGGTCTCGTCACGTAAAAAGAACGCTGAGCGAAAGTGGACGGAGTGGGTCTGCGCATGGTTACAGTCGTGTTCTTAAGTACTACATGGTATTAGGCTATTGTTTTATAATATAATAGTAATTAATTGTTTTATTGTAGAATCATAATAGGTAATTTAATACCTACTTAGAAATTTGGAAGAGGTTGGAATTAAAAATGGATAATGTTTCGTTGAGCTTTATTTTTTATTTATGTCGTAAAACATAAAGTAGTTTGTAACAAGAAAACTTAAGCTAAGAGTGACACGCCGTCCATTATATCGTCTTGGGTAACATGGAAGTCGGATGTCGACGGTGTGTTGGTGTTACTGGATGCTACTTCATCATCACTTTCATCTTCGCTTGAGCTTCCGTCATCAGAATCATCATCATCAATGCGAATGATAAATGTTTCCGTCATCAGGTCGACCACATGGTAATTTTTTCGGTATTCTTCCTCTTTTAACTTTACTGCACAATTTTCCCCATTCACCTTCTCCCATCATATTTACCTTTTCGTTCACTAGTTCAATCATAAAACAATAGATAACCTATAAGGAATCGGCGTCCCTGAGAATATTGATTATTATATTGACCATATTGTCAGCTGATTTTATTTAAATTTTCACTGCTGGTTTTATGTTTAAGTATTTTCATGGTTTTTTTAATGAAACTCGTTTCATTTAGCTGTACTAATATGATGGAGCGTTAATGAAGTTAATAAAACGTTGCGAAAAGTAGATTTTTTTCCCCTCGGGATCGAATTTATTTGTGACCCATGATCAAAGGTATCCTTAGTACTATCATCTGTCTTCGTTTTCAGGAGTGTTTCACAAACCCGTACCCGTAGATTAATCTAGTTCTACTGCGAATATCTTTATTACAGATTCTATCATTATTTCTATGTAGATCGCTATGTGACGTGAAAGTAGTCTAAATGATTTTAGGGTTCTTCTAAAGGAAAAAGTACTACTGATGCAGGCATTGCACTTCTCTAACACATATTTGAACGGGAGAGTAAATAGGATAGTGTAGATGTTCTTGTGACCTATCTAAGGCGTTTGATTGAGTAAATCACGATACACTATTGAATAAAAATAGTTCATTAGGGTGACCCAATAAATCGGTAAACCTTATACAATCATACTTGCCTATCCGGTTGCAAAAAGTAGTTATAAATGGGACTGAATTTTCTAGAGCACCCTTAATTATGTGCGTGCCCCAAGGATCAATATTGGGACCATTGCTCTTTTTAATATATATAAATGATCTTCCTTCCTACACTTAAAACTTATGTGAACCAACATTATTTGCTGATATTGCCGCTCTAGTGTTTGACATTGATAGAGGTTTAAACTCATTTAGCTGCTGTATATCAAATATTACATTGTTTTACAGCTTTTAAATAGCATGCTTTTAAATACCAATGAAACGATTTGCATAAAATTTTCTTTGCGAAATGTAAGGCGGTTTACTGTTCAATAAGTTCAACTTACAGTTCAATAAGTATTATGTAATAATCCATATTGAATAAAAAAAAAATTAGTCATATTAAGTTGTACGATAAAACTTGATTTAGTAGATTCCAGTCTTTCTTGTTTTTTTATTGTAATGGATTCTCAATTACAATGGGAACCTCATATTGAGACCTTGTCAAGAAGACCTAGTTCCGATGTGCATGTAGTAAAAACATAAGCTGTTAACAGATGTGGATACATCAAGATTGGTTTATTTTAACTATTTCCACAGTGTTACACACAGTCCACCTGATGGTAAACAGTTGATCTATATTCGTTTGCGAATTAAAATGCAGATGCGTTGTAAGCCGTGAGGACTAAGATCGAATGCCTCTTTTCCAGTAAAATGGGTCTCCGGTTCTCTACACTCACCAAACGAAACACAGCAGCATTAAGCTGTTATTTTACGCTGGTATTCTATGAGAGAGTGGTCCTTCCCCGGTCGAGCCGACCCATTCGTGCTACAACTATACTATTAATATAGCTGCACCATGGCTCTACCACGTAAAAAGATGACGAGACTGGCCGCCTCGATTCAAATTCGGTGTGTAGGACATTATAAAAAAAAAGGTGTGACTGACCAGTATTGATGTCGGCGCTCAGCAGCTCGGCGTCCGCGTCCCAGAGGCGTATGGTGGAGCAGAGGCCGGCCAGCGCCAGCGAGCGCCGCGCCTCGCTCCAGCGCAGCAGCACGGCGGGCGGCCCGCCCCCCGCGCCGCCCGCACCGCCCTCCGCCGCGCCCGCCCCCGCCCCGCCGCCAGCGCCCGACACCACACCGCTCGACACTGAGCAAACGCAACCATATTCATTATTCATTCATGTTTTATGTGTAATAACACACAAACAATCATGTACAAGCTAGATGTAAAAAAAATATAGACCTAGTGCCTACTTACACTTAGCATGATCTCTATTGGACAATGTACTTCTGACAACCTTCTTATGGTGCGGTGAAATGCAATCAAAAAATTCTCTATATCATTAAGTTAATGCTTATACAGTTAACATACCCCTCTCAAAAAACTGTTATTAACGTGACATATTCTACAATATGGAGTTGAAAGTAACGCCTTGTAACGACTGATCTCCTGTCGACGAGGAATCCGAGGTAAACATTTTCCAACAACGAGAGAACATTCACAGTCATTTATTTTTTATAACTGACTTCAAAAAATGAGGAGGTACTCAATTCGACTGTATGTTTTCTATGTGTGTTACTTCAGTCAGATCGTTTTTCTAGGTGAACCGATTTTGATGATACTTTTTTATTTCAAAGCTGGTGTTTCTCATGTGGTCCCATATAAATTTGATCAAGATCTGACCAGTAGTTCTTGAGTTATCCTTAATAATATGCGTATTTAATAGACTTCGACTACATTGATGATATTCTCATTTTATATATAATGAAGTTATACAATTTTTTTAATTTTATCATGTGTAAAAATAAACAGCATCAACACAATCACGACGATGCTCAAGCGAGTAAATATTATGCCTAGCAACGGATGTATCGAGGTAACTATAGTCAAAACCTAATCTTAGCCTAATTCTTTAACGTATTTGCTGTGGATCTTCTTCACCCCACTCTTGTGAATAACATAGAACAAATGCCAGATATAGTACAAACAAACTCGAAATTACTACGTACATAACTGTGATAAAGAAGCTTATAAGTAGAAGGGTTTTGAATGGATTAGTCACACGAAGTATAAAGCCAAGCTAACTTTTTTAGTTCGTTTGTCATTGTCAACCTTGTTTTAAAATTAATATTACTTAAAAAAAAAAATGTCCGTCAGTTTTATTTTTGTCCTGTTTATAACGTACACATCACGAATAAAGGTTACTTCCAATTCTGATTTATAGCTATATATTTTTATTATTGATGTTATTATAAAAAAAAATAATGTTAGCGTGTTTTGGTAAATTTTATATAATATTTTAAAACGCTTAAACATAAGTTATCATTAGTGCACCACTTGCAAATTATTGATGTAGTTTTGTAGTACCCGATCCCAATCATTAATTATTTCTTTAAAGGCTTATAAAATTAGGTATTTACGAATAATAAAACACTGATATAATTTAATTTATACATATAAATAGAAATGGGCTCAAATGGGAACCTTGAGGTACATCGTACACGGAACAAAGGTTCATGATCGTGAAATCCCTTTACTACTTTTCCTGTCATTACTTCCAAATGTTATTTGGCAAATTCTATTTTTCGTATCTCTATATAATCTATATTTACTACTGTTTCTTTTCGACTTTACACCGATAACGGATGACCGTTTGAAATTCTCTAATTAACTATTCTAATGAAAATTAAAAGTAACAGTTTACATGAAACTAGCTAAAACGGCAGGCCCACTTCCGAAAGATTCGAGTTTTGAATAAATGATGCTCATAAATCACATGCATAAAATCAACTTTGATTCGAATATGATTCAATTTCAAGATAATTCGCAACCCTGAATACAACGAAATGTAACAAGGAGTTAACTTCGTTCGAGTATTTCGTTAGAATCGAGAAATTAGTACTCCTCGCTTGATCGAATAGCTGTCAATTGAGTAGTTCGATCGAAATCAAAGGTCAAAACAACTGATAACAAAGAACTTTGAGTGAATCGTATGAGATAGATTTTATAAAATTTAACGAGCTTAGAGCCGTAATAGCACGTATAACGTCTTGATTTTTGAGGCATGAAGTCTAATTTCTGCGGTGTTGCTTAAAATTCAAGCAAGAAAAAGTATGCTGATGAGCCGGATTAACCTAACGTCACTGATTGCTTGAATTAACTCGATCTTGTTATTCGGTTTGAAATGGTACCAGTAAAAATTAAATGTGTTTAAATCGAAAACGAACAGAATATTTTTTTAGAGTTAACATGCATCTCTTTGTTGCGATTTTCTATTTTTCTTTAATAACGTTTGACCGCGAATCCAAAATAATGAATTTATTTTACTTAGATATATAATAACAATATTTTTTCACGTGTTCTACCTAACCCGTGTAGCGGCGGGTAAGAATACTCACTACCCCATATCTTCCCGTGGATGACAGAGGGAAACAGAGGCAGAAAATGGACAGCAGCGTATTTTTGATAACAGCACATTACAATAAAAAACTGATGTTGCCAACCCGTTCGCAGAGCGTGACAACTATGGCAAGAAACCCCCCATGAGCACCGACACAAATAAACGGCCTTCAGTCTCCGGCGGCCCCGCTATTCCTGGCTATAGTAACGGTGTAACGGCGGTGCAGGGAAGCTATATATATGCTAAGTATGTCCGGTGGAGGTTCGGTTCGGGCGGAAACGTATAACTCACGCACCCTGAGCACTGACGAGAAGATCACGGGGCTGGAAGAAGAGTAGGACAAGTTGCTGTGGAATATTATAGGATTATCCTAGGTCCGAAGAGAGGGGGAAGACACGGTAATCCTCGAATCCGGCAACTTGTTCTATCACTGGGAGGGCGACCATCTATCCCAAGGAGATATCGGGTTTCTCGTACACAAGTCTCTCGTTAACAACGTTGTAAAGATTGGGAGTGTGTCGACGAGGGTTGGGCACCTTATACTCAGAAACACAAAACGGTATTCGCTGAAGGTCATACAGGTTTACGCATCAACCACGGCATATGTGTGAGGATATCTCTAGTCATGCATTCTTCCAAAACCCACTATACGGTGTTAATGGGAGACTTCAACGCAAAACTAGGCACAAGACAAAACGGTGAGCTGAAAGTAAGAAAATTCGGAATAGGGCAAAAGATCCCAAGAGGCCAGCAGTTGGCCGACTTTATGGAGAAAGAGGCGACGATGTGTGTCGAGCCCAGACGGTTCGACAAAAATGAGATTGACTTCATTATGACAACCAGACGACAACTGTTCAGTGATGTCTCAGTGATCGCAAGGGTGAAAACTCAGCGATCACCGAATGGTGAGAGGCACACTGAAGCTAAACGTTACGTATAATGAAGTCAACGCTCCATCCCCTTCGTTCTCCAATCGAAAGCCCTCAAAACTTTCAGCTCGAGTAACAAAATAGTTTTTAGTGCCTAGAAAATTGCAATGAAGTGGACGATATGAATGACAAGCCTGTGGAAACTGTCCATGCGGTCAGAGCTAAGTTTTGTAAGACCCCTCGCAGCAGAACACAAAAACTTCCCGATCACACTTTTAATCTCATGACTGTTAGACAGGAAATAAAGTTGCAGTCTTTAGCAGATTTGACAGCATACAGGCAACTGAACAGACAGATCTCCAAATGCATGCGGAGGGACTTCCGCAACTTCAATACGGCTCGTATTGAAGAAACGATCACACAGAACCAGGGCTCCAAATTCTTTGCCAGAGATCTGTCTGCCAGAAAGAGCCAACTATCGAAGCTGAAGACCGAATGTGTCAGCATCGTTTCCGGGACACCTGAGTTTTGAGTGAGATTGAAAGGTTCTATGGGCAGCTGTACACACGTAATCGTTGGAGCCACACGCAAGTGTCTTATCCGACACTATTCCAATGATATCCCGGACATCAGTCTGAGCGAGATTGGAATGACTGTCCAGTACCTTAAAAACGGCAAGTCTCCGGGTGAGGATGGAATTACAGCGGAGCTACTGAAAGCGGGTGGAAAACCGGTACTTAAAGTCATTCAGAAGCTCTTTAATTCCGTCCTCCATGGTGGCACTACTCCGGAGGCATGGAGCAGAAGTGGGGCGGTCTTCTTCAAGAAAGGCGACAACACTCTTGAAGAACTACAGACCGATTTCCCTTCGGAGCCGCATCTGATATGTTGCAAGCCGGTAGCATTCATTGCTATGCGGATGTCAGCACTGGTGATGCTCTATACACCGGCCGTGCCAATATTTCTCGGGAAAACGTCACCGAGTACCGGAACAAACTTGTGTCTGTTCCAGTCGAGTCTGCTGGACAAAGTCTCGGATTGGGGGCGACTAAATCTAGTCCAGTTTAATCCTCAGAAGACACAAGTTTACGCGTTTACCGCTAAAAATAACCCCTTTGTCGTATCTCCTCAGTTTCAAGGTACTCCCCTTGTTGCCTCAGCCAGTATCGGAATCCTCGTCGTCGACATATCGAGTGACGTGCAGTTTCGTGGTCACTTGGAAGAGAAGGCCAAATTGGCCTCTAAAAAGCTTGGCGTGCTCAGCAGAGCGGGACAGTATTTCATGCCAGCTCAACGCCTGCAACTTTATAAGGCGCAGGTTCGGCCACACACTCTCGCAGAATACCAGCGTCAAATAGCAGCTTAACGCTGCTGTGTTTCGTATGGTGAGTGTAGAGAACCTGAGACCCTTTTTACTGGCAAAGAGGCATTCCATCTTAGTCCTCACGGGTGACAACGCATCTGCATCTTGAGTCTTTATTGAGGATAGATGTAGATGTCTATGGGTCACAGTAACCACTTACCATCAGGTGGACTGTGTGCTCGTTTGTCACCCGATCCTATAAAAAAAAATCACTGTAGGACCTAAGCACTATGCTCAATGACCTCAACAGTGGCGCCCAACGGATAGGTCTTAAGAAAAACATGGATAAAACAAAAATCATGTTTAACGTCCATGTCAAACCTATGCCGGTAGTTGTTAGGTGCACTAAGCTCAAAGTTGTTAACGAATATGTTTACCTAGGACAAATAGTCCAACTAGGTAAGTCCAACTTCGGCCGAGAGGTCAATCGACGGATTCAACTAGGCTGGGCAACGTTCGGTAGATTACAATATATTTTCTCGTCAGGCATACCTCTAAACCTCAAAACTAGATGCGTGTTCAACCAGTGCGTGTTGTCAGTGATGACCTATGAATCTGAGACGTGGTCCTTCACTGCTGACTGTATGAGGAAGGTCGAAGTCGCTCAGCAAACTATGGAGAGGGCTGTGCTCAGCATTTCTCTGCGTGAGAGTTAAAAACAAGGATATTCGCAGTAGAACCAAAGTAAGTGACATAGCCCGAAAGATAAGTAAGCTGAAGTGGCAATGGGCTGGCCATATAGATCGAAGAACCGATGGGGAAGAAAGATTCTCGAGTTGCAGCCTCGTACCGGTAGGCGAAGTGTAGGGCGTCCCCCCACTAGATGGAGTGACGACCTGGTAAGTCATGCAGGAAGTCAATGGAAGCAGGTGGCTCAGGGCCGTGCTTTGTGACATTTCTTGGGGGAGGCCTATGTTCAGCAGTGCACTTGTGAAGAGCTGTAATGATGATGATGATAATAATGATGTTGTACCTAACACCTCCAAAGTAATTACTTATCTAAATTGAATGCATCTTCATCTATATCTATCTCTAGTCTCTTTCTATTACAAATTTGGTACAAAATACCAATAAATCTGCTGTTCCCAATAAATTGTCTGTCTCCAATACTTCTAAACAAATGCGAAACTTCTTTATACGCATAACCTTTATTATTAGATATATATACAATGTTTAAAAGGTACAATCGGGATGTAACATCTATTAATTATTTTTAAGTAAGCTTTTGTTAATAAAAGGGCATAGCCAAAAATATACATAAATTTAGTATAATAACACAATAATAATTATGATTAAGATGCTATGAAAAATATATAATCGGCATGAAATGTTGTTAATGGCATTATAATTAACTAATTATTAGTGACTGAGTATTAAAGAAACCCTATACCAGTAGTAGAAAAGGTGCATGCAATTGCGGCATGCAATGATGTACAGTCAGCGTCAGATATAAGGGAGCAGTCAAAGTGTTCAAATATTTTGAAACAGTCAAAGTCATCATTAATATCCAACCATACATAGTAGCTAAATTATTGAGAACATCAATCTTTCTCAAATATATCGGAAACACATTCAACATCTAATGCACGTACGAGTTCATTAAACCGTTCAACATTATAGTAACAAACAGAACGCCAATGGTATCCAGCAGCCAAAGTATTAAAAAATGTGGAACACTTCATGAAAAGAAATTTTATACCGATATCATAGGGATGGAATTCTCTTACTTTTTGAGTCTTTTTGTTGCCAGAAAAAAATAATTATCAAAATTCAAAATGGTAAGTTTACACAATAATAAGTATAAAATAATATATGATTTAAATTTTTATATTATTCCAAGCAAATAAAGCATAGGAAAGCTAATCAACTTACAACACTGAGATAAAATAATTTCATATACAACCATCAATAAAAAATATTTTCAAATAATAAACTGGACAAAATATGTCAATGACGTCACGTTCGAAGTAAGGGTTACATAGTATTTTCAACGAACTTCAAGTCCTACGTACTGGAGGTTCCTGCAAAACACAAGAGATATTCCTCGCTCCCGATTTCTGGCCCTCAGAAGTAGTGTTTTGCCGAAACAGGGACTTATGTCTATATTTTATATATATATATATATATATATATATATATATATATATATATATATATATATATATATATATATATATTTAGGTTAAAGTATATATTGCTATGGGCCAATGTTCTTAATTTTTAAGTCCTTGATGCCTGAAATAAAGTTATTGTATTGTATTGTATTATTTAATATGCGGTAGTAAGGGTAAGCGAAATGATATTACTGAAAGAACCATTAATAATTTAATATGAAGTAAAATGTCATCATCATCATTACAGTCCTTCATAAGTCCACTGCTGAACATAGGCCCCAAGGAATGCCACAAAGTAAAATGTATAAATAAGTTAGTGTAAAGCAAATTGCACCCTATGAAATATAACTGTATTAAGATACAGTTATATTTCATATTGTGTCCCGCATTTTTGAATACTTTAGCGGCTTCGCTGTAATTGAAGTTTTGTTTGTTACTTTATTATGGACCGTTTGACTGAAACCATATATTTTGTCGCTGTATATGTTCCGATATATTTGAGCAAGATTGGTGATCACAAGAATTTGCCTACTTTGGATGGTTAAATATTAACGGTCACTTTGTATGTTTCTAAATATTTGATCAACTTCACTGCTACCTTCCTTTTGACGGACGTTGACACTGTACTATAATGTTAAGAGGCAGCGGTAGTGTATATTCTAAACTAAAACAAGTATTTGTGAGTATAGGAGAGGTGGATAAATGCGGCCGTACTAGTTCTTGCAAAATTTTGAGATCAGTTTGCCGGTTGGGGATTTTTTTTTTTAGAGAGGAGCATTTATATTTGTGCTCTTAACAATAATTACATTTTTCTTCCGTGAACCTGTCTGTGAGATTGCCAGTCTCAATAGGCTGGACTTAGGTTTTTTTTTAACTTCTGGAACTATCACAGCACTATACTAGGTTTCATGCAGTTGATGGTTGGTATGTGGATTGGCAATGATAAATTTCAGGTAGATTTTGGTAATTCTCATTCTATCTCTTTTTATTATTCTTGCATAGAACCATAGGAATGCGTAAAAGTAAACTTTCTTAAAATATAGTAAGAGTTGGAGAATGTCAAAGAAATTCAGCATCAAGTGAACTATTTGGTTTTAAAATTTAGTAAGCATGCGTGCACTACTTTAACTACATTAATTTCAATTTAAAAATTGTGCAGCAATGTAATTTTAATAAGAAATAAAGTGACAGTGCTAAGAGGTTACAACATTTTACTAGGAGTGCATGAAATGGTGTGTGACTCACGATTGGGGTCGGACTGTTTTGTCTTGATGGTGGCTTGCCGCTCTTCACCCGAGATGAACTGTTCCGACACCAGCTGCGCTAGACCTGTTACATGGTTGTTCTTCAAATAATTTTAAAATTACGTCAATTACGTTTGAAATAATTTTTATGAATCATAGTGATAAGAGGTTACCACAAGGTTGACTTTTGGGGTCTAATTTATTTTCTGTTAAATGTACCTAAGACAAATTACCGCTTCTATAACGTCGTTGTGTTAATAGAAATTATTTTAATTATGTTAAAAGAGAATTGAACTAGAAATCATTATTGCATTACTGATTGTATCTCTTAGCAAGTCTATCGCAAATATTTGTTTAAGTGAATTTAAACATGTATAATTTACAAATTATCATTGAACGTAGTATTTTGTACATACGAATTATTATAATTATTCAAAATAGTAATTATTTCTTCATTATTTTTAAAGACATCTATGGCGTTAAAAATATATGCTTTTATATTTTTTAAGACATTAAGGACTTAATCGTAAACTAGCGACCCGGCCCAGCTTCTCTTGAGTGGGATCTATTAAAGTGGCATCATTTAGATTGTTTAAAATCAATGACTACTTATTTTATCAATTTTTCCATTTTAGAAAAAAAAAATCTTCAGTTTCTCGGATTAAATATAGCTTTGATCACTCCTGTCATTTCTCTCTATCTGTTTGTGAAGTTTTATCACAATCGGTTCAGCCATTCCGAAGATTAGCCCGGACGGACAGACAAATATTCATGCGAAGATGTTACAAGTGGTTATTCATAATCCTGACCATATTGTTGAGTTGGATAAAAGGCAGTTACTTCGATGTTACAGACAAACAATTCAATTTTCTTTATATGAATGTATAGATTATAATTAGTTTTATTATTTAATCATGTTAGTAGTTGTTACATATTACTATATTAATATTGAATATTAAAACCACACATACATAGATTTAAATAGTAATTTTTTATACGTACTATGACGTCATTAGCGCTATTTATTGACGGGAAACATTTTTCTGTGCTAAATCGATTCGTTAACAGATTTCGTCATTTATTCGTTGTTGGAAAGTAACCTTTATCTCCCGTCGCCACGATCGATTTTAGGATATTTTAAAAGTAATAAAATTACTGTCAACATACATAATTACAAATGCATGCAGGTGTATTTGTAATTATGTGTATTGACAGTATTAATTGATATAATTTTGCAATGGTTCACGGATTATTTAATTTATTTATATTTTTTATATTCAAGTTGTTTATTACATGTCATATAATAAATTAAAGATGCCTTAGTATATACTTTTTTTATTTGCCAATCTGGGCGTTTTACGTTAGGTGTTAACGAACCATTTAAATCAAAGAGTGAAAAGCACTTAACATTAAAATGGGATAGAAGTTAAGCATCGACTTAGAATAGTAAAAAAAAACGAGATGGTTATTTCACCAAACCATCACTTATTGGAAGTCATGACTTGGAATCTTCCATTATTTTACATTATACGACGTAATAATAAAATTAATTTAGTTTGTTTTTGTATTGTGTGTTTTTTTATAGAATAAGGGTGACAAACGCGCACACAGTTCACCTAATGGTAAAAGGATTTGTGGATAAACATCTACATTTATCCTCGATTAAGAGTAAAAATGCAGATGCGTTGTCACCCCTGTCGACTAAGAAGGATCTTCGTTTCCATTAAAAAGAGCGTCTCAGTGGTCTTATTCCGGTCGAGTCGACTCACTTTTACTACAATTATAATATAGCCGCAGCTTCGCTGTTCACATAAAAATGTGTCTGTAGGTGCGTGTGTGCGTGTGTAGGTGCGTGTGTACGTGTGCATGTGTAAGTGCGTGTGTGGGTGGGTAGGTGCGTGTGTACGTGTGCATGTGTAAGTGCGTGTGTACGTGTGTACGTGTGCATGTGTAAGTGCGTGTGTGCGTGTGTAGTGCGTGTGTACGTGTGCACGTGTAGGTGCGTGCATACTGACTGTATATGGGCTGCGCGGGCGGCGGGCGGTAGTCGGCGGCGGGGCGCACGGGCAGCGCGCGCCACGCCGCTGCGCATGTGTAGGTGCGTGTGTGCGTGTGTAGTGCGTGTGTTACGTGTGCACGTGTAGGTGCGTGTATACTGACTGTATATGGGCTGCGCGGGCGGCGGGCGGTAGTCGGCGGCGGGGCGCACGGGCAGCGCGCGCCACGCCGCTGCGCATGTGTAGGTGCGTGTGTGCGTGTGTAGTGCGTGTGTTACGTGTGCACGTGTAGGTGCGTGTATACTGACTGTATATGGGCTGCGCGGGCGGCGGGCGGTAGTCGGCGGCGGGGCGCACGGGCAGCGCGCGCCACGCCGCTGCGCATGTGTAGGTGCGTGTGTGCGTGTGTAGTGCGTGTGTTACGTGTGCACGTGTAGGTGCGTGCATACTGACTGTATATGGGCTGCGCGGGCGGCGGGCGGTAGTCGGCGGCGGGGCGCACGGGCAGCGCGCGCCACGCCGCTGCGCATGTGTAGGTGCGTGTGTGCGTGTGTAGTGCGTGTGTACGTGTGCACGTGTAGGTGCGTGCATACTGACTGTATATGGGCTGCGCGGGCGGCGGGCGGTAGTCGGCGGCGGGGCGCACGGGCAGCGCGCGCCACGCCGCTGCGCATGTGTAGGTGCGTGTGTGCGTGTGTAGTGCGTGTGTACGTGTGCACGTGTAGGTGCGTGCATACTGACTGTATATGGGCTGCGCGGGCGGCGGGCGGTAGTCGGCGGCGGGGCGCACGGGCAGCGCGCGCCACGCCGCTGCGCATGTGTAGGTGCGTGTGTGCGTGTGTAGTGCGTGTGTACGTGTGCACGTGTAGGTGCGTGCATACTGACTGTATATGGGCTGCGCGGGCGGCGGGCGGTAGTCGGCGGCGGGGCGCACGGGCAGCGCGCGCCACGCCGCTGCGCATGTGTAGGTGCGTGTGTGCGTGTGTAGTGCGTGTGTACGTGTGCACGTGTAGGTGCGTGCATACTGACTGTATATGGGCTGCGCGGGCGGCGGGCGGTAGTCGGCGGCGGGGCGCACGGGCAGCGCGCGCCACGCCGCTGCGCATGTGTAGGTGCGTGTGTGCGTGTGTAGTGCGTGTGTACGTGTGCACGTGTAGGTGCGTGCATACTGACTGTATATGGGCTGCGCGGGCGGCGGGCGGTAGTCGGCGGCGGGGCGCACGGGCAGCGCGCGCCACGCCGCTGCGCATGTGTAGGTGCGTGTGTGCGTGTGTAGTGCGTGTGTACGTGTGCACGTGTAGGTGCGTGCATACTGACTGTATATGGGCTGCGCGGGCGGCGGGCGGTAGTCGGCGGCGGGGCGCACGGGCAGCGCGCGCCACGCCGCTGCGCATGTGTAGGTGCGTGTGTGCGTGTGTAGTGCGTGTGTACGTGTGCACGTGTAGGTGCGTGCATACTGACTGTATATGGGCTGCGCGGGCGGCGGGCGGTAGTCGGCGGCGGGGCGCACGGGCAGCGCGCGCCACGCCGCTGCGCATGTGTAGGTGCGTGTGTGCGTGTGTAGTGCGTGTGTACGTGTGCACGTGTAGGTGCGTGCATACTGACTGTATATGGGCTGCGCGGGCGGCGGGCGGTAGTCGGCGGCGGGGCGCACGGGCAGCGCGCGCCACGCCGCTGCGCATGTGTAGGTGCGTGTGTGCGTGTGTAGTGCGTGTGTACGTGTGCACGTGTAGGTGCGTGCATACTGACTGTATATGGGCTGCGCGGGCGGCGGGCGGTAGTCGGCGGCGGGGCGCACGGGCAGCGCGCGCCACGCCGCTGCGCATGTGTAGGTGCGTGTGTGCGTGTGTAGTGCGTGTGTACGTGTGCACGTGTAGGTGCGTGCATACTGACTGTATATGGGCTGCGCGGGCGGCGGGCGGTAGTCGGCGGCGGGGCGCACGGGCAGCGCGCGCCACGCCGCTGCGCATGTGTAGGTGCGTGTGTGCGTGTGTAGTGCGTGTGTACGTGTGCACGTGTAGGTGCGTGCATACTGACTGTATATGGGCTGCGCGGGCGGCGGGCGGTAGTCGGCGGCGGGGCGCACGGGCAGCGCGCGCCACGCCGCTGCGCATGTGTAGGTGCGTGTGTGCGTGTGTAGTGCGTGTGTACGTGTGCACGTGTAGGTGCGTGCATACTGACTGTATATGGGCTGCGCGGGCGGCGGGCGGTAGTCGGCGGCGGGGCGCACGGGCAGCGCGCGCCACGCCGCTGCGCATGTGTAGGTGCGTGTGTGCGTGTGTAGTGCGTGTGTACGTGTGCACGTGTAGGTGCGTGCATACTGACTGTATATGGGCTGCGCGGGCGGCGGGCGGTAGTCGGCGGCGGGGCGCACGGGCAGCGCGCGCCACGCCGCTGCGCATGTGTAGGTGCGTGTGTGCGTGTGTAGTGCGTGTGTACGTGTGCACGTGTAGGTGCGTGCATACTGACTGTATATGGGCTGCGCGGGCGGCGGGCGGTAGTCGGCGGCGGGGCGCACGGGCAGCGCGCGCCACGCCGCTGCGCATGTGTAGGTGCGTGTGTGCGTGTGTAGTGCGTGTGTACGTGTGCACGTGTAGGTGCGTGCATACTGACTGTATATGGGCTGCGCGGGCGGCGGGCGGTAGTCGGCGGCGGGGCGCACGGGCAGCGCGCGCCACGCCGCTGCGCATGTGTAGGTGCGTGTGTGCGTGTGTAGTGCGTGTGTACGTGTGCACGTGTAGGTGCGTGCATACTGACTGTATATGGGCTGCGCGGGCGGCGGGCGGTAGTCGGCGGCGGGGCGCACGGGCAGCGCGCGCCACGCCGCCGCCAGCGCGGGCGCCACGCCGCTGCCGCTGCCCGACGGCCTGCCACAACAACCATACACATGTACTCATTTACGATTACGACATTCATTAACGACACTAACCTAATGGCAGCCCGTGAAATCTCAACTCAAAAGCTCGTGTATTTACCACAATGTACACACTGAAATACTATTACTTATTTTTGAAACCAATTTATTAGAAAAAACTAAATAGCCATTTATAGTACAAATGTAAATAGATAAAACGTCATCACTTTTGTTGATGTAGACAGAGCTTATTTAGTTTAATTGATTCCGCAACTCACATAATAGAGGATTATTAAAATCCTTGTTCCGCTTATAGAAATTCTGACTTATCCGCCATTCGACTATTGTCGAATCCCCCCTATGAGGCAATCCACGACGAAGTCCTATGTTCAGCAGTGAAATTTGATAAGCTGTAAGGGTAATGGTTATAAGAGATGGTATCTCTTGTTGCCGTTGTCCTCTGTCACCTTTTAACATCTACGACACAATGTAGGATACTAGATTTTTTTACGTCGCCACTATAAACCTATATATTATACGCGGCCACTCAACGTAAAAGTCAATATATTTTCATTCAAAATTAAAACAAAGCTTTTTTTTAATCAAGGAAGCTAAGCTTCCCCCTTCCACAAATCACTACCGCTCTAAAAGGCAACAAAAAATTTACAAACAATTTTTCCCCAACAGTTACTACTTAACCATATACAATTAATAATTTCTATATATATTTTTTAATAAGAATGCTTTTTCCTGCACCTTCCTCCCACTATTCTTATCAGGATATCTCTTGCAACTATTTCTAGTAAAGAGAAACATTGTCGTAGTCATATGCCACAATTTGAAATTACACCTGTTACTGGCTATAGCCACTCAGCATCAAGTGAACTATTTGGTTACTTGTAACTTATAAAACCTAACTCACACAAATAAGTACAGAAAGTTAATTTATAACGAAACGTTCTTTTATTCAAATTAGACCAAAGACTTCGTGCGTACTACTAGATCGGCAATTTGGGAAAAAACTGTATTACAGCAGTGGACCGCTCGGGCAGGTAGCCGGCACAGTATATGCCATGTAATTGTAGTATTATTTAGGACAGTTACTGTTTTAGGCCAATACGAAATAAAGTTACATACTAATCTGAAATAAACTTCAAATCACGTTGACAAAACGCGCACATAAATAATGACAGCGTTCATAAGTCACTATAAACAAAATCAGTCTAAAATTGTCGAAAATAACGTTCGCGGTTAAAACTAGCGTTCTCGTCCGCTAACAGTCGACTAAAGAAGTTAGGTAACTTGAGTGTAACTTAGTGCGCAATTTATTAACTGCAGAGCACATACATACAGATATATAGAAGTTTTTGGTCCCGCTGTACACAAAGAGTTGCGATTCGCTCGCTCGCTCTCTCTCGCTGTCTCGCTCGCTCACCTGTAGATAGCGAGTTTGCCGGTGTGCGAGACGACAGCGAGCAGCACACGCTCGTGCGCGTTGAGGTAGGCCAGCGCGGTGATGCGCCCCCACGACAGAAGTCTGGTCCTGCTGCACACTGAGAGCTGCGACTCGCTCTCTCTCTCTGTCTCGCTCGCTCACCTGTAGATGGCGAGGTTGCCGGTGTGCGAGGCGACAGCGAGCAGCGCACGCTCGTGCGCGTTGAGGTAGGCCAGCGCGGTGATGCGCCCCCACGACAGAAGTCTGGTCCTGCTGCACACTGAGAGCTGCGACTCGCTCTCTCTCTCTGTCTCGCTCGCTCACCTGTAGATGGCGAGGTTGCCGGTGTGCGAGGCGACAGCGAGCAGCGCACGCTCGTGCGCGTTGAGGTAGGCCAGCGCGGTGATGCGCCCCCACGACAGAAGTCTGGTCCTGCTGCACACTGAGAGCTGCGACTCGCTCTCTCTCTCTGTCTCGCTCGCTCACCTGTAGATGGCGAGGTTGCCGGTGTGCGAGGCGACAGCGAGCAGCGCACGCTCATGCGCGTTGAGGTAGGCCAGCGCGGTGATGCGCCCCCACGACAGAAGTCTGGTCCTGCTGCACACTGAGAGCTGCGACTCGCTCTCTCTCTCTGTCTCGCTCGCTCACCTGTAGATGGCGAGGTTGCCGGTGTGCGAGGCGACAGCGAGCAGCGCACGCTCGTGCGCGTTGAGGTAGGCCAGCGCGGTGATGCGTCCCCACGACCGACGCCACGCGCCCGCACAGATTTTTGCCGCAGTGCCCCAGTCCCAGATCCTGCAATTACACATTTCAAATGTCTCTCACCAACTCAGAATTTTTTTCATACCTACCCATACTAGGATGGCCATTTCGTATGTTGTAGTTCTTGTAATTCATGAAGTCGAGCGGGCTTTACTTCTAGTAAGCACGTATTTGTAAATGTGTAAAAGTGTGCGTGATACCAAAAGCGGGTATGATTAGTGACGACACACTCGCAAGGTCAAACACACACACTATATCCATGTACATTATATACACGTTCGATTACGAGTAAAGTCCGCCAGATTTAGAAAATTACAAGAACTGTACTACTTTTTACCGCATTTTAAAACTATAATCCAATTAATGAAATTAATTTTAAAACCTAACCTAATCCTAACAAAGAATAGTCGTTTGAGCAGGACAAGATTATAGTGCACAGGTGTGTGCGTATCCACAGATGTAAAGAAAGAACTATTTATTTGATACACGCATTTTACACACATTTCGAAAAATATACAAAAGCAAGGGGCAAAAATATGCATGCACCACTCTAAGACTGCTTATGCATAAACATATTACGCAAATAATCATATTATATGTGTGTTTTTAAAATACAAAACAATAAGTCCAAATTAAAATGCAAAATCGAGTAAGTTTTTAAGGCAAATTAAAATTATTTGATGAAAGTATGTAGGCGCTTCGAAGTTTGATAGATGATAGATGTTTATCGATGACAGGACAATATAATTTATATCTGTAGGGCATATGTGGACGTGTGAGGTGTTACCCGAAGTTGTCCTTGAAAGCGACGGCGAGGTGCTGCTCGTAGGGGTGGAAGCGCACGACGGCGGGCGGCAGCGCGCAGCGCGAGTGGAAGCTCTGCGTGTCCAGCCGCACGCACCCGCACCCCCCGCCCGCGCCTCGCAGCGCTACGGCATACCGCACACCTTATAAAACTCATCCAACAAACCAACAATAAATCAACTAAAACTATTTTACCGTTATAGCCTACTAAGCTCCACCGCTGAACGTTTACTGAACCTCATACATTGATTGCCTCATAGGGGATATGTGCCATAATTGCCAGGCTCAGCAAGCGGTTTAGCAACCGCAGTTTTTATTTTAAGTCGTTATTAGGAAGGACGCTGCAGTCCATCTCCCGGTTTATTTCCCTCTGTCGCCTCTTGCGATACCCACGGGATAATATGGGGTAGTGGATATTCTTACATCGCCAAATTATTTTAAAATCAAAAATTATCTTAAAATTTTGAATGTGTACTCCTTTTAAGAAAATTCAATCCCTGAGGAGGGGATTTTTAACGTCACTTTTTTAGTTTTGAAATAGGCCAGCCGTAATAATTGTATGGTACGTGTGTGCGCATGTTTACGTGCGTGCGTGCGTGTGCGTGTGTACGTGTGCGTGCATACCTCTGGCGGCGCGGCGAAGACTACGATTGCGCGCTCGGCGCCACACGCGCTCATGATGCGCGCGGCTCTCGCTGTCCTGCTCGCTCCCGCCCTCTCCCTCGCCCGCAGCCGGGCCGCACTCACCCCGCGAGAACTGCGCCGTCGCCCACTCCACGAACTCAGTGCTCACTATCGCCTTCTTTGTTGTTTGACCTGTTCACACCCAAATCAAAACTAATGGAACTCACCAATATAGCGCCCATAAATAACATTATACGTGTTAGAGCCACGCTACAGCTATATTATAGTCGTAGCACAAATGGCTACAACTATAATATAGCAGCTCCACCGGGGTAGGACAACGCTTTCAAAGAATACCAGCGTGAAATGACACTTTACTGGAAACGAGGCATTCCATTTTAGTCTCCAAAAGTGACATCGCATATACATTTTGATTTTTAATTGAGGTTTATGGGCCACAACATTCATTTAACATCGGGTGGACTGTAGTGTAGCCCTCACGACAGTATATATGTGTTAAGGGAGAATAAGTTCAAGTAGTATAATTAAAGATCTAGATGAAGCAACACGTCTCCTTCATTAACCACCATTACAGGACTGTATGCTCGTTTGCCACATATATTCTATATAAAAAAAAACATTCTCCGATAGTAAAGTAAAAGTAATATATTTAAAGATGTTATATGATATGTACATATACATATTTATTGAGTATGTGTGATTTTTATTCTAATAATATTTGGTAATCTGTGATTATTATTACCGCTGTAATCTTAATTTTATTGCTAAAAAAAATATCCTCTTGCACTTACCATGATATTTCTTTTCGTCTGGGGTTGACTGGGAGAGAATGTCAAAAGACTCAAAAGACCTGCCATTTGGAAGTCTTAAGTTTACGCTTTTATTTAAGATGATAACAATAAAGCATATTTATGCTTTATACAAAAAATATACTCACTAGAGTTAGAAGAAGTAGAGTCACGCTCGCGATCACGGTGCGCTACTGAGTCCTCCGATATCGTATGAGGGAGGCCGGACTTGCCTCGCCGATGACCTGCACATACAAAATGTATTTATTAATGATGAATAATAATTTATTTTTACCATGTCATCGACATAAAAGGCAAGTAAAATTATATAATTATACAGGGTTAGTTTTCAAAGACTAGCTAAATTTAATAATTAAGGTCATAATATAAATAGCGATATACACTTTTTGCAGTTTTTAAAAATACGCGTAAATCATATTTCTACATTTATTTGAAAATATCCTAAATTGAATGTGATTTATGGGCAACAACAGCGCGCGCTCGTGTGTGCACGAGTCAATGCACGGAGCTTTTGCTAACTATTTACTTCCATAACTACTCAACGGTCCACGGTGACTACAGTCCCTAAAAACAATTATTGCCTCACCTTATTCACCAAACGACATCTTTCGGTTAAAACGTGGACAGCGCAAAAGATACCTGTTATTAATATAGTAAACAATTATAGATGGTGCTATATGAAATTTGACATCTGTGAAAGTAAATTTTATCTGTACAAAAACCTTCCACCCCGTGCGAGTGGTTCTCGCCTGACCTAACCACTATTTTTTACAACCGCGCGAGACTGTCTTAACAAAAACGATTACTACTGAAAAACTACTGTAGCTACATTCAAATAAAAATATTCTCAAAAGACTCAAAGAATTTATAATTTAATTTTGTTAAAAGTAAATTAGTCAAATTAAAAATAAAGGCTGAAAATATAGCTTAAAAATGAAAATATCAAAAAAAAATCGTATTTATTTTTTATTTCGAGTTTTACAAGAAAAGTACAATACTTACTGGAGACAATTATTTTATATTATAATAGTACATGATATTCCCTTTAAAATTACACCAATATCAATAATATCTTATATATTCAATATACACCCATACATATATGTTTACCCAATATAAATTTGAATAAATAAGTAAATAAATAAATAAAAATAGGTTTTAATAATTTCTAGACACATCTCAACAGATATTTCGTTTATAAATTGCTATCAACGTGTTAATAGTGAATCATTCTTTTATATTTAGCATTCATTTAACACAAAAAACTGATTAGAATACATTTTAAACAACATATAATCAATAAACAATGATCGCGTAGTGATTAAGGGGCTACTCCATGCGAACGACCTTGAGCATTTGGTGTGCCGCGCCGACTCGCTACAATATAATATCACGTAAGAAATATGTAAGGCGCCACCTACTGTAAGAACGTAGTATTTTTTCAACATCAATAAACTATTTTATGGAAATACACACAGCGAACAACGATAAATGTATCTCAAATTTTTTATTCGGTATATTAGTTGCATTATATTAGAGTTATGTATTCTCATATAATATTATCTAATTATGAAATTTTATAATTAATTATATATTAAAAATGAAGCATTGAAAATTGTGAGTTTAAAAGATACCTACTCACTATAGGTAAATAGATAGATAGCTCGCCTTTTGTACAAATATTTGGTGCAATAAAGAATAAATAAATAAATAGGATGTTTCGCAGAGTGAGAGTAATATAGAATGAGAGTCGTGGAGGCAGTTTACAAACATAAATTGCACAAGGACAAACATCCAGACCCGGAACAATTATTTGTAGGCCATACAAATACTTGTTCCGTGCGGGATTCGAACCCGCGGCCCCCAGTGCAGCAACTGATTGCTAAGCCAGTGCGCCACGGAGCCGTCGCCGGTTTATAGCTAAAGTGACCATACGTCCCGTTTGGAACGGGACTGTCCCTTTTCTCAGTCACCTGTCCCATTGTCCCCAAACAAAGCTCCGGGACACAAAATTGTCCCGTAACTCGTTGGATGGAAGTATTCAAAGTCAACAATCTTCAACATAATTTTTTTTAATCGAATATATTTTATGTCTCCCTGGTACAAATGCTCCAGTAGAAAGAATATTTTTTTTATTTTGAACAAATTGTGGACGTCTGAAAGAAACACTTACGGTTCCAGTTCTAAAGGCGATGTTGTTAACAAAGGTAACAATAAAAAAACTTAAGCGAATTTTATTCTTATTTAAAATTATCACCAACTTTATTAAAGCAAATTTAATCCACTGACAAATGTAATTAATAATTAAAAAAATATGTTGCATTTAATAATTACCGTCTATACCGAATATAATTTTATATTGAACACTAATTGTGTAAAGTTATAGTTTTTAGAGTGTAAATAAACCCATGTCCTGTTTTGAGTTAAAAAATAAATGGTCACTTTAGTTTTTTTAGTTAAATTTAGTTTAAAAAAATTTTAGTTTATAGTAAAAAGTAGGTATATTAATACCTACTTAGATACTTTTTACCGAATTAGGGTAGAAGCCCCTAATACCAGTCATGCCCCTAATTGCAGTCTTTTCGCCTTTTTACTCCATAAATAAGATTTCTAGTAGTCTTAACTACAAATATTTTCATCTAAAAAATTCTTTGTACCCAGAGGAAACTATATTTATTCAAATATTACCTCGCAGTTTTAAACCTAACAGTGTTAAAATCAAAACAGGTACGCAACGAAAAACGATCATTTTCCTAATTATTTGACAAGTTATGATCCCGGTAAAATTATGCTTACTTTACATTATCTCATATATAGGCTTTTTGATTTGTATGAATATGACTATAGACATAGTAATGCAGTTATTTTTGTTTGAATTTACAACTTATTTATTTTCTTTTAGTGGAAATTAATGGGACTGTAATTAGATAATATAAGAAATGTATGGAGTGCATAATGTCAGCCGCCCGGCTGTTATTTGGTTTGACGTACCTAATAAGATGTACCTAATTTCAGCCACGTAATATAAATCAGAGCTGCCATAAACTGGAATAAATACCATTAATTAGATCATAACTTATTTTATAGCTAAGGGAGTTATGATCAATTCGTCTGTTTTAAAATTGGTTTTAGATTTTAAAGTTTAGCAAAAGATGTACTAGCTTTTCTCTCTGACATTCGGCGTATAGAACATCTTATGTACTCAATTTTTTTTTTTGAAAAAGAAGAATAAACACGCAATAAATAAAAACAAAAACGGGCCAAAAACTCATAACTGACTCTTTGACAAGACCCGGGATTCAAAACCGAGACCTCATGATCAGCACTCGCACTACTACAACCACTAGACCAACGAGGCGGTACTATACCTAATAAGATATTGTGGTTGGGTGATAATATTGAATTAGCCTTTTATAGTGTAAATTATAATATTTGTCGAAATTTTAATTATGGATTCGAACCTTACATGCTAATGGTGCTTCATTTTTTTATTTGCATTTACTTCAAAGAAAATACACGCAAAAAGCTTCATCGCGCAGTAAAAAACACAACAAATATATATATATAACTAATACGAAAAATTATACCCAAAACAAACAAATAATACTACCTATAAATAACCTAATAAGTAATATTATTATCGACTAATATGACGTGAGTGTATGTGCTGGTCGACGCTCTAACGACACGAGCTTCGCGTCGAAGAGCTCAGGGCTCACTGACTTCAGCAAGCCCGTGAGCAGTGAATATGCCCAGATTTTAAAATAAATTCTTAATAAAATCAAATTTTGGTCTTTTGAAAAAAAATTTACTATAGAAATATTCATTAATAAATTGCCTATCCATTGGTGTAAATCGCAAAATAAAATAATACTTACTTTACGAGGAGATGCATGTTATCAATAATAATTTCACATTTATGTGGTTTCGTTGTAAGGAGATTATATTAATATTTATTCCTTTAAAAAAAAATTGGATATAGCTTTTATGGAGTCAAGATTATGTACAAATATAATGTGTTTTTTATTTGTTGATATATCTTTTAAATAAAAAGTAGATAGCTCCTAAAAACAGCACAAATAACGACTTGCGCGACATTTTGCTCAACCTGCGCCTTAATATGTCGAGCTAAATTATTATATGTAAACGTTTTGGGATGGTCGTAATGATACATATTTCCTAAAGAAAATATCGTTAGAAATATTTAGAAAAAAAAGTTTAAATTAAATTTTTTTAATTAATTTTCTTCACCATTTGCCTATATTACTTATACTGAACCTTCTCTGCATATTTGGTCGGTAATTACAAAATAACCCTGTATATGCGTGAGTACATATAATTTGACTATGTTGCATTAGAGTTGCATATGGGCACCATGTGTGTGTACACATGTACGCGTGTGTGTATATGTGTGTGTGTGTGTGTGTGTGTGTGTGTGCGAGTGTGTACGTACCTATAATGGACAACTGTGTGAGCGTGCGTGTCTACGTACCCATGATGGGCAAAGTTCGCGTGTCCCCGTGCGAACTGAGCGGGGCGGGCCTCGTGTTGGGGGAAGGTGGCAAGGAGCTGGAGCCGCTGCTGCTTCGTATCATCTCAGTTTCTCGGCTTACATTGTCCACCTACGAGATGAAATCACATTCAATTCAAAGAAACAACTTTCTATACTAATGTGTATAACAAACGAGAAAGCTAACAGCTCGTGCAACACTGGCAACAACTAAGATGAAATGCCTCACAGCCTGTATTTATACGGGTTATGTCTTAATCTTCAAAACGAAACAACATTGGGTGTACTGTTGTTCGATGGCAACAATAATTACCTGTACCAGCAAAATAGCTGCTATCGTTAATTACTTGAGCATTTTCTGTAACTGCTATAATTTTAAATACCTTACCTTAATAGAATTTTGTCATTAATAAATTGATTGAGTGTTTTATAAAACATTTTAAACACTAATTTTACCGGATATTATTGCGTTTAATTTACCCAGCCTCTTAAGTGCTTTGCTGTACCGATGTAAAGGGGGAATGAGGGTACTTGATAGTCTAATCAACCTAGGCTACCATCACTTTTCTCAATCATGAACAGGTACAATTCAAAATATATTGCTGTAAATAAACCACTCCTGAGTAACAGGTAGGCAATTGCGGTATTATAAAGTGTTTCCAGAGAGGATTGTAACAGTGTAGAATATTTTGAACTTTCAAAGGTTACAGAGGCTGTTCTAGCAGTTCTTTCATTTGATTTTTGTCACTGTCACAGACATGCTACAGTGAAATTATTCATTCCGTGATAAAATAAATACCAAGTCTTTGTCCCTTTTTAGTGTCTTATGACAAAACGATATTCACAATAAAAGATGTGTACCTGGTTGGATATGTAATTGATGATGTCAGACGCCATCTGCGAGATTTGTGGGTGTGGCTCCTTTGCCATGCTGCACAACGCTGTCCACAACTTCATGTACACCGAGCCGAAACCTACAGACAAAACTACAGGTCATCAAATCATCAAAGTTCGTAAGCAGCCCAGTCGGAACAATTTCTTTTTTTTTATAGAATAAAGATGACAAACGAGCACACAGTCCACCGGATGGTAAGTGGATGCTGTGGCCTATAGACATCTACATTTATCCTCAATTAAGAAACAAAATGCAGATGCATTGGCACCCCTGAGGACTGAGGACGAAGATGGAATGTCACGTTACCAGTAGAACAAAGGTTATTTTTAACAACAGCAGCACTGTTGCCTTTCATAAATATTACTTTCCTTACAATATTTTTCATTAAGATTACTATCAAATCATAAAAACATCAAACTATCAATTTTTAATGAAATACTGAGATTATTGAGATAAGCAAGGTATAACAAGGTAAAACAAAGTACTATATATAAAACAGACACGATATAGCAACTATAATTATGTGTTCCTTCATATAAACTATAACTATGCCAAATCATAAACTCCCCTGTGTTCGTGCGCGCAGTGTGCTTGAAAAAGGGTTAGAAGTTTTCTCTTCATATATCATTATAGATTGTTATTATTTATTTGTATTGTTTTACTTTTATTTATAATTTAAATTATTTATAAAAACTATCAATAAAATAATAACAATTATAAGTAATAAACTACACAAATAGAATATAAATAAATGTGTAGTGAATTGTGTCTGAAAATTGTATATACATATGTAAAAAATATTGGTAAATCCAATTGAGCATGCCCTAAGCGCATTAAAAAAATTACGTATAACATGATTATATGGAATTTTTAAAAGTAGTTTAAATACATTTCGATAGCACTATCGGCTTCAACACTCGAAACCCATGAAAATGACACCCATGATGAAAAAATTGATACCTATTGCAGGCGCCACCTTGGATTTACATTTCGACAGCACTATCGGCTTTAACACCCGCGAAAACCATGAGAATGACACCCATGATGAAAAAATTGATACCTATTGCAGCCGTCATCTTGGATTTACATTTCGACAGCACTATCGGCTTCAACACCCGCGAAAACCATGAGAATGACACCCATGATGAAAAATTGATACCTATTGCAGCCGCCATCTTGGATTTACATTTCGACAACCCTATCGGCTTCAACTCTCTCGAAAGCCATGAAAATGACACCCATGATGAAAAAATTGATACCTATTGCAGCCGCCACCTTGGATTTACATTTCGACAGCACTATCGGCTTCAACACCCGCGAAAACCATGAGAATGACACCCATGATGAAAAAATTGATACCTATTGCAGCCGCCATCTTGGATTTACATTTCGACAGCACTATCGGCTACAACACCCGCGAAAACCATGAGAATGACACCCATGATGAAAAAATTGATACCTATTGCAGCCGCCATCTTGGATTTACATTTCGACAACCCTATCGGCTTCAACTCTCTCGAAAGCCATGAAAATGACACCCATGATGAAAAAATTGATACCTATTGCAGCCGCCACCTTGGATTTACATTTCGACAGCACTATCGGCTTCAACACCCGCGAAAACCATGAGAATGACACCCATGATGAAAAAATTGATACCTATTGCAGCCGTCATCTTGGATTTACATTTCGACAGCACTATCGGCTTCAACACCCGCGAAAACCATGAGAATGACACCCATGATGAAAAAATTGATACCTATTGCAGCCGTCATCTTGGATTTACATTTCGACAGCACTATCGGCTTCAACACCCGCGAAAACCATGAGAATACCCATGATGAAAAAATTGATACCTATTGCAGCCGCCATCTTGGATTTACATTTCGACAGCACTATCGGCTTCAACTCTCTCGAAAGCCATGAAAATGACACCCATGATGAAAAAATTGATACCTATTGCAGCCGCCACCTTGGATTTACATTTCGACAGCACTATCGGCTTCAACACCCGCGAAAACCATGAGAATGACACCCATGATGAAAAAATTGATACCTATTGCAGTCGCCATATTGGATTTATATTTCGGCAACCCTATCGGCTTCAACTCTCTCGAAAGCCATGAAAATGACACCCATGGTGAAAAAATTGATACCTATTGCAGTCACCATTTTGGATTACATTTCGACAGCACTGTCGGCTTCACCACCCTCGAAAACCATGAAAATGACTCCCATGATGAAAAAACTTATAGCTTTTGCAGCCGCCATCTTGGATTTACATTTCGGCAACCCTATCGGCTTCAACTCTCTCGAAAGCCATGAAAATGACACCCATGACCAAAAAATTGATACTACTTACTTTTAGTAGGTACTACTATTATTTATTATGTGCATTTAGAATATTGTAATAAAAAAATCTGTCATTATTATTATAATCAACTATTTAAAAAATTTGGTTATTCGAATATTATGTATTTGTACAGCGATCTTTTTGAGCCGCTGCAAACAACCGTTACGATGTCCACTCACAACGGCGACTGACGCCGAACTGAGTGACGCTGTCTCTATTTAGTAACAATTTATTCATACAAGGCTCCCGAATACACCGAATTTTCACCATTTCGCAGCCGAAAAAATTTATTATATATATAGCTAAACAAAACAAACTTACACTGCCATTTACATTTAGTGGCTTCCCACATGATAGATGAAGATATTAAAAAATAGATTAAGTTAAACAATTGATATTTTCAAAAGTTATCGTGTTTACAAGCCTTGCGGACTTGATAAATCCACACCATAAACCACTAAAACCCCTTTTTTATTTAAAAAATAGCAATTAATCGATTTGAAAAAATATTAATAAGTTCAACAATCATTTATATTTCTAACAATGTACTTTTTATATCATTTATTAATAAATATAAATGTAAATGTATATAAATGTCCTCGTATGATTGCTAGATACGATTTCATGCGATAACACGTTGGAATCTTAATTTTTAGGCGATAGTAGAACATACCTTGCGCTTTCGCTTAAGGCATGCAATAAATAAATAAATGCGTTGTCACCCTTGAGGCTAGACCTCAAGGGTGACAACGCATTTGGTTTGAAGTACCTACATACACAGAGATACGCGCGGTACTTGCACGTGGCTCTTTCCCACTTTCTTGACTCCCTACAAATATTTAATCACTTCCTTACCCCAAATTTAACGTCATTATCCCCCTTCTGGGGCTGACGGCACTGTAACGCCTACGTCGTCGGGCCCTCCTACCAGCCTTCTATCCTTCCCTGTCTTGCGATCGTGCCACCTATGCGCAAACTCGCGCAATAGCCCTTCGTTTACCACATCGCTGACGAGATCCAAGTAGTAGACTGGTCCCTGAACCAGACGAACTAGTCCATCCATCATTTTCACTCTTAGGTGGTCATACAGAGGACATTCCCATAGAACATGGTGAATATCCTCCTCAGGCAGACCGCACTCACACATACTAATTTCACACAGTTTCATATCGCCCAGTCTCTTCCGAAAGCATCAACGTCCAGTGAGAATCTGAGAGGTTTGGTAGGCAGGTATACCTGAGTCTCAACGCAACGCCCGGGAAAAATCGATGTAGCTCACGTCCTTTTGTGTCACTCGTCCATCGATCCTGCCAGGCGCCGATCACCTCAGTCCAGATTTCGCGCTTCCGTCTGCTCAACTCCTCTTTGGGCGCGGTCAAACGTGCTATACCCATCCTACCAGCACAGATGACCTCCAGGTCAGCAGGAAGAACGCCAGCCAGCACCGGTAAGGCCGCCGTGCTAGTGGATCGGTACGCCTTGGTTAACAATACAAGAGCGGATCGCTGCGATCTCAGTAGTACGCTGCGAACTGTGTACATGTTCACACGCTCGTACCAGCACTCTGCCGCGTACGTAAGCGTGGACACAAACACTCCTCTATAGATTAGTTTCAAACTCGGGTATCGTACACCTCATGATGATGTAGATACGCGAGTCATCTTGCCGAATCCCTTGGTCCTTCTTTCAGATATATCAGACTGATGTTGCACAAACGATAGTCCCGAGTCTAAAACCACGCCGAGTACCTTAAAGTTAGTCACAGTCTTAATAGATTCCCCACCAAGTTCAAAAACTACTACCCTACTAAACTACTCCCTCGTGCAGAGGGAGTCGGAGCAGGTCATCCATTAGCACATTCCACAATATTAGGCCCAGCACGGAGCCTTGAGGACAAACCATGGTCGACGTCTTCCACTCTACCCGGTCCCCGATGTAGAGGCCCACACGCCTGGAGGTGAAATAGTCCCACACCATTATATAAATGATGGGTGGATATCCACCCCTTTTGCCTTGACCATCATCATCGGCCACCAGGCATTGTCGAAGGCGCAGGAGATATCTACGAAGATTGCTTACACGTAGCATGCCTGAGAATACCTTGCCGCGCTGAGCAATACACGCAGCGATGTTACTGTAGACCGCCCCGGAGATTCGTGCTGGTACTCGGATATCTCGCGGCTAATCGCGGGAGCACATCTTAAAATTACTCGTTCCAATAATTTTCCCAAAACAGGGAGGAGCGTTATTGGACGGTACGCCTTGGCGTCGGTGAGCGGCTTGTGGTTTTTCCACGTGCAACCATCCCCTTCGCAATTTGACAATCGCCCGCAACCCGTCCCAATCCACCCCTCGGTCACGAAAACGAGGGATCACTAACGGGTGCTGCGCGCGTGGTCGGCCTGCTGGTAGTAGCCGGGTATGTAATCAAATTATGGTCGCTGGCGCAGACCCCCTCGTGCACTCGCCACTCAGCAACGTGGACATCTCCAATGGACAGCGAAGGTCCACATTTGACTCCTCTCCAGGTCCACAGTATGTGTAGGGCTGGTTAGGCTGATTTGCCAGTGTAAGCGCCTGTAAATATATGAAGTCCTCCATCATCTGTCTTCGGTACACTACATTCTGGCCTAGAGACGGGAACAGTATTCCATCTGGGGCCGAACCTGCGCCTTGTAAAATTGCAAGCGGTGTGCCGGCATGAAATACTGTCCCGTTCTGCTGAG